TGCTTGTTGATTTTTTGCCTCATCGTGAAACGATCAATTCAGCTGCATACTGCGAGACTTTAAAAAAACTGCGCCGTGCAATACAAAACAAAAGGCGGGGCTTACTGAGCAAGGGTGTCGTTTTGCTCCACGATAATGCTCGTCCACATACGGCAAATCAAACTCAAGACCTAATCACATCATTTGGCTGGGAACAATTAGACCACCCTCCATACAGTCCCGACCTAGCGCCGAGTGACTATCATTTGTTTCTGCATTTGAAGAAGCATCTGGCAGGGCAGCGCCATAACAATCACGACGAAGTCAAAACAACCGTTCTGCAGTGGTTGTCTCATCAGGCAGCAACATTCTTTGAGGATGGAATACAAAAGCTGGTCCCACGATATGATAAGTGTCTCAATATTAATGGGAATTATGTAGAAAAGTAGTGTAAAATATGGGCTTTCACATAAATAAAAATTTTGTTAAAAATGTTTGCTTGTTTTTTTATATTTCAAAACGGTACTTACTTTAAAAACACACCTCGTATAAGGATGGAGGAGTGAAACTGCTGTAATTTTCTATAATCAGATGTTTCTAACAAAAAAACTAAAAGAAAGAAAGCATATTCTTAACTTGTTTCAGTTTAATTACTTGTTTTGTGAATGTTTTGTAATAATAAACAATCATGACCAATTCTGACAATATAATCAAAATGAATTTCCTAAAATCTATTATGTGATATTGAATTTGTAGTATGGGAAGTTGAATTGTGATACAATTTACTATATATCAAAATAAATAAAATATTTTTGCTCTAAGAGTATTTTCTTCAAAAATATCTTAAAGTTATTATATTTTTTATCAAAAAATAAATAAATAAATAAAGTGACTTTTTTATTAATTGTATTTTTATGCAGTAAATTTGCTTTAGTTTGAGTTTCTTTGGGTTTTTTTAGGTATCGCAAGCAGTATAATGTATCATTAATTATAGAATAACAAACTATTTTTATCTTTAAGAAAGTTTATTTCTAGATGTAATCATTAAAATATCTTTTAACTTATTGAAATTTGAATGAAGTTTTAGTAATAATAATATCTTTTGATAATTCAATATATTTTTAAGTGTCATTACATTATGTGTGACACTGCATGACAACATTAAACAAGATGTATCAGAATGACATTTTAAAAATTTGAGGGATTGTAGAGGATGAAATTTTGAATGTTTTGATATAAGGAACCCATAGCCGGAAATGTGATATAAAGTTTCTACAGCGGTAGGAAGTGCTTGACCGCCCTTCACTTTGGTACTTTCCTCTGAGGTTATGTAAAGTCCCTTGTGTACGCAATACCTGTAGGAACAGTTCATGAGCTTACGGAGCACATCTTTACAGCATTTAATACCATCAGAGGGGAGCGTAGATCTTACGGAGAGTCGGACAAAACATGGTTTGTCATTGTACATCATGTAACGAAGTTGGTGGTTGTCACATTGAACATTTACTCTAAAGTAGTGCAGCCACTGATTCGATGTACAGTTTGATTGTACTCTATTGTTTTGTCAATAAAACTTGTCATAAATACTGTATTCTGCCATTTCATTCATCATACCAACTGCAAAGTGCAAAGTGATGTAGAAACTTTATATCACATTTCTGGTTATGGGTTCCTTATATCAAAACGTTCAAAATTTCATCCTCTACAATCCCCCAAATTTTTAAAACGTCATTCTGATACACCCTGTATACATATAATTCTCATATGAATAAATATACTCTATATTGTATGACATGATGAACAACATACTCTTATTGTATGACTACACAATTAATTTTAAAACAAATATCATGCATATATAGAAGAAATATAATCTTGTACAGGATGTCTAAAAAGTTACTGCACAATGGAAAAGGTTTGAATAAATTTTATTAAAAGTGAAGTTTTACATACAATATTGCAGTTTCTTCTATAGAAAATGCTAAAAATGCTCCTAAGAGGCCCCAAAACCAAAGGAGTGAGGTCTGAAAACTTAGTAGGACATATTCCACAAAAGACTATGCAATCAGCAAAGAAGTCTTCTGAAAACATCATCTACTGTAAAATGGAAATGTGGGGCATACAGTTTACAGTTCTCATATGCAATACCATACATATAATTTTAATGTCATTACAAATTTCTCACTAAACAGTAACTTTTTGGACACCCTGTAGTTATATTTTTCATAAATCTTGTAATAAAATTAATATAATAATGTTATTGCATGGAAACAAATGTTAAAACATAGAATCTGTTAAAATAAATAAGCAGATTCTATACTGTTGTATCCTATTAAAAATTTCTATAAACTAAGGTATTTTTTTAATATAATTTATAATAAGAATTTTGACATCTGGCTTTTATATCATACAATTATTATATCTACCACATTAATAATAAGTCTCACTTGCTATGAAGTATTATCACTGTAAAAAGTTAATTAATTCAAACAAAAATAAAAGAAAAATAAAAAGCTTTTGGAATGATAATATATTAAAATTTGATTTTGTCATAAAACCAATAAAATTTTTGGACTTAAATAATTATCCTCAATAATTATCAACTATTAACCATGGGTAAGTGAATATTTACAGAGAGCAATGCATCATATACCCATTTAGGATACCGATGATCAGGATAGACTTTCTGCATAAATTCTTTAACAAATTCAGGAAACTTGTTTTCTTTGATGCTTTCACGGATTGACCTCATTAAGTTCATCTAAATTTTAAAAAAATTATTTATATAAAATATAAATAAAAAGTTTTAATAGTATCATATTGCTCTCTTCAGTTAGGTAATATTGATCAAATAGTTAAGTAACTTACCAATATTACCTAACTAAGGAGGGCAGTATGATACAGCCAAAATGCATTTTATGATAAAATAACAGTAAAAAATGTAGAGTTGTAATTAGTAAAATAATAACGGATTTATAAATAACTCTCAATGTGGAATAAGCCCCCTAAATAAATTAATGATAAACAGTAACCATTATAATAAGAATTAAATTAATATAATCAGTACTTAAGTTGCTTCCATTGTTCTGGTGAAATAGGCAAATGGAATACACACCTTGTATTAGATTCAAGACATTTTAATGTAGGATATTTTTATGATAACAGAAGAGTTTCAACTCTTTTAGTTCTAAAAGAAAGGGTTGATAATATTAAGGTGTTTAGTGTGTTCCTGTTTTTTAACATATTCTGTAGATTGTTTTATATTGGGTTGTTTGGAACATTTGTAGCGATTTTTGATAGCCAACAGTTGAGACACTGATTGACATGAAAATAATTAGAATTGTACAAATCAATGAATATTATGATAAATGACCTTGAGACACGTCCATTACAAAAACCCATTAAGATTATTCAAATATCATTTAATTTGTCTCATTGCAAAAATGGATGCAAACAACATGCATTATCGACACTTGTTTCTTTATTGTAAAGGCAAAAATGCTGTACAAACAGCAAAAAAAAATATGTGATGTTTATGGTGGAAATGCTGTAGCAAAATCAACTGTTCGAAAGTGGTTTGAAAAATTTAAAGCAGGTAATTTCAGCCTTGAAATGCTCTCCCTCAGGAAGACCCTCATTACTGAAGAGGATCAGATCAAAGCATTATTGGATGAAAACCCTCATTACACAACTCAAGAGTTTGCAGACATAGTGAAGTCATCAAACAGTACTGATTTCAACATCTAAAGAAGCTCGAATACATGAATCGTTACGACATTTGGATACCTCACGACTTAACAGAAAAGAACTTACTGGATTGCATCTCCATTTGTGATTCTCTTGAAAAATGAAATGAAAATGACCCTTTTCTGAAGCACTTAGTGACAGGTGATAAAAAGTGGATCGTTTATAACAACATCAGCAAAAAACGATCATGGGGTAAGAAAAATGAACTACCATTAAAAACTCCAAAGGCCTGTCTTCATCCAAAGAAGGTCATGCTCACCATCTGGTGGGATTGGAAAGGAATCCTGTACTATGAGCTGCTTCCACAGAATCAAACAATTGATTCTGATAAGTATAGTTCCCAATTGGATAAACTGAACATGGAAATTAAAGAAAAACATCCAGAATTAGCCAATAGAAAAGGCATTGTGTTTCACCATGATAATGCCAGACCATACGTCTTTACAAACATGCCAAAAATGACTGGAACTAGGCTGGGATGTTTTACCTCACACCCGACCTTGTCCATTTGTTTCATTCTCTGCAAAATTCCCTTCATGATAAAAGCTTTGACACTTTGGAAGCTTGCAAAAACCACTTGGTTCAGTTTTTCATGGGACAAACTAGAAAGTTCTATGAAGAGGGTATCATGAAGCTCCCCCATAGATGGCAACACATCATTAAAAACAATGGTGCATACATAATGGAATAAAAGTATATTTTTAGTTTTAAAACTGTTTCTTTTATTTCTCTTAAAAATCACTATGAACTTTCCAAACAAACCAATATAATATATTGAATGTGTTCCTAGAGAATAACAATTTATATTTCTTTTCTAAATTTTTTACAAAATGTATTTTTTATCTAGCCTTAAACTTCAACTTATTTTTAAAAAAATACAGACACAAAGAGAAAGAAAATCAATATATTTTAAGAAACTGATTCATCTTTATAGTGTTAATACTCACAAAGAATTATATAAATTGTATTAAGGTTTATATAGTGTTAATACTCACAAAGAATTATATAAATTGTATTAAGGTTTATGAAGTTGCTAAGCGTGTCTGCAAAGTCTTATAAATTTTGTTTTTGCTCAAATTTCAGAGACATTCTACATTAAAATATACAAGCAATTAATTAATAACATCAGAAAATCAATAAAATCATAAATACTTATAATTTGCATGTACAAATCTATTCTTATTCATAAACGTAACTCAAAGATAAATTAAACTAATATGTAAATTTTTTATTGGGATGCCAAATTCTCATTAAGAAAAATTCCTTAAATTGTCATAAAAAAATTAATATGCAAATTAGCATTTATAAAATTCAGTACAATTTACAAGCAATTAGCAGTATCTTAATGTAAACAGGCTTTGAAATTGTAGCAATAATTCTCCAATAATAACTGAGGAAAAAGAAAACCTTTATTCAAGAACAAATGAGTTCTTGAAGAAAGCTTTTCTTTTTCCTCAGTTATTGTAGGAATCACTAAACTGGATACATTTTTAAAAAGGAAGACACTATCAATAAATAACTAAATAGTAAAATATAAATATTTAAAAAGAAGAGCACTTCCTAGGTTTCAATACATAAGTAATGTATCTTCATATACATTATGTACCCTGTGATCTACTTGTGATGACTACTGACTGTTTTTGATGGCCAAATGACTGAATAATTATGATGGCAACTTACCATCTGAGGGACCAAGATCAAATCTGAATGAGTCAATGAACCCCCAAGAATTTTTTGAATGGTGGTCCATCTGGATATGTTGCCACCTTATCATTCATCATCCCATTGTGGGCCTGGCCAAACCCATAATGGACTTGCTAAAAAACAGGTAAATTTTAACTGTTTTAATTTTTTTCACTGTCTTTGTATTAAAAATAAAATGGAATGGTAAAAGAGAAAGCATATGTTAGTCAGGACTCCATACACAAAAGATATGTGTTTGCAATGGCAATCACAAAAATTATCATACTAAAAATTTTATGCTGCTCTCTGCATTCATCCTGATAGTAGGGCACACATCTTTGGTTTTTCAGTGATCATCATCCCATCCCAGTAGGAAGCTTACAACCTTTACATTTTTGTGTTTATGATGAATATCCCAGTGCATGCTTTATTTTTAAGTATGTAATAAAATTCTGACATAGTATTTTCAGAAACATGAATCTAAAATATTACATGTGATTGCAAAACACAATTGTTTGGGTTTATCTAGAAAACATCTATTTCAATGAGATTACAGATTTTTTGCACATTTCCAAGGCAGTGTTAATACATAACCCAAAATATATAGAGAAGTGACTGTAATAATAAGTGATATGATGCAAAAAAAAAAGGAAGTTTTGTCCACAAAAACAAAATTAAACTAAAAAGTGAGCTATAAACAAAATAAAACTGTTGTTAATCAATACAAACAAGAACTAAGACTAATAACAGTTATCAGAATAATTATAGATTACTATTAAATACTATATTCTGGATCAACAAAAATATGGCAATGCTCCAGTAATTTTAAGTAGTATATCCATAAAGCATCTAAAAGCTAGTTTTCCATGTGCAATGATTATTGGCATTAATCAACTGGCATCAGTTTATTTGCATGTGGAAATATGCAAATTTAGGTAACACCACTTGATTGGTGTCAATAATCATTGCACTGGTAAAAGTACAAAGTGGGTGTATTTTTTGGTGCCATTAAATTGGTATGCTGACTTGCATGTGAAAATAGGTTTGAAACCTAACTTAATTCATCTTTTCTAAGTAAATTAGAGCTATGAAGTCTTATTTATCAATCAGTTGTCATAAATAAAAGTAATTCTTGGATACAATAGTAATTTTCAAACACTTAGCAAAACTCTCAAGCTGTTCCAACAATTTATACTATTGTTGAATATCACATTTCTTAATAATTTATTTACTTATTCAAATGATTAAGTTAATTAATATAATAATTTGTCATTAATTCCCAAATTAGAAAGTATGTGAGAAAGGAAAAATATCGTAAGGACTATTATTGTTTTTTCACTAAAGTATACAACAATATAAAAGATTAATGCATCAGATAATATGTAAATTTGTGGTATAATTCTGTTATGGTTGAATAATTGTTTTAATCTAGCTGGATTGTATGCATGAATAGAAATTAAAAACAGGTAATGGCTAGCCTGAATGCACTGGTTCTCATCGGATCAGTGAAGTTAAATATTAAGAGGTCTAGATAATGTAGAATTGCCAGATGCTTTTGTTTAACCTCATCCAGGGCTTGGAAGTTCTGGCCAGTCCTGAATCTGGGTTAAGAGAGAGAAAAAAGGAAGGGTTCAGCTATAAAATATGTCCAAATCAGAATTAAACAGTAATTCCACATAAAGTGAAATTAGTGATGGAGAAATAATAAATGAGAAGTTTGACTGTTTTTGTATGTCATATTTTTTCTGTAGAAACTAAAGCTATTATTTTCTTTATTTACACTATTAGAATGATTATAATAGGTTTACACAATATACATGAAATAATTTATAAAATTTCTGATCAAAACAATTTAAAAAAATAAAATATTTTTCCAAATAATCTATATATATTATTTATTTAAAAGATATTTTCAACTTGCTATTATACAGGGTAGTCATAAAATCTTTCCCTGATTACAAAAATTTATTTTACAAAGAATATATTAGATGAAAATATGAGATTTATGGCATAATTTGGGCTAATTTCTAGAGATTTTTGCTGTAATCTTACCCTGACCGAACAGTCTAGATCAGTGGTTCTTAACCAGTGTTCTGCAAACCCGCCTCAAGTGTTTCATGAAAGAATATTTTAAAGTTTTTATTGAAAATTTATTTTAATGTACTACAAAATACTATCAGATTTATAGATAATTTCATGGTTTTATTTTATTCAATACATTAAAGTTTATGGAATTGTAGACATGGAATTGCTTATCAATTTTCGAATATATTTATGTCAATGCTCCGTGTAATAAAAAGTATGCAGATGGTGTTCCACAGCCTCAGAAAGGTTGAGAACCACTGGTCTAGATAGTGCTGCAGTCACCAGCATTAAAATAGCATCTTTGCAGGAAACTCAATGATTTCTATGGTTTCACAAAACAAAATCACTAATCACAATTCAGCAGAGGTTCAGAAAAGAGTATGGACAAGACTCACCAGATGTGAAAGATTGATATATGAAGCTTAAAGAGACTGGCGTTTTTCTAGTCACCAACACTGCCAGTCTCTTTAAACTTTCCATAGCAACCTTTCATATCATTCATCTTTTCTCCATTCTCTAAAATTTTGCTGAACTGCAATTGGTGATTTTGTTCTGTGAAACCATAGAATGTGTTAAGCTTTTCCTGCAAAACACATTTTTATACTAACAATTGCAACACCACCTGGACTATTCACAGTCTATGTAACATTATGATAAAAAAAAAAACAAGGAATCAGTCTAAATTGTGCAACAAACAATGTGTTTCTAAAGTTTAGCTTTTGCATAATAAGGTAAAAACAAAAGTAAGATACAAAGAAAAATTATTAATAAAATAATATACAGTATATTGTTTCTTTTTTAAAATTTTTATATTATAATAAACATTAACAGAGAAATTTGAAAATAACTTGTTGTTTGGAATAAGGGAATACAACATGAAAGGAATCTGCCAAAGTAAGCATTTCCTAGGAACTGGTCCCTATTTAAATATTAGACATGTGAAGAAAACACAGAAAACTTTGCACAGCAAGCCTGTTGGTAACAAACCTGAAAGCAACTACCAGTGTTTAGTACTTTTAGTCACTTGGCCACAAACCAGCCTAAAAATAATTTAATAATAAAACAATTATAATAATGTTTACCTGAAATGCTACATTGTGAACAGAAAGTAAATGGCAGGCAACTGTTTCACGTGTGACAATGGAATGTAAATAAGCTCTAGTATAATGAGTACATGTGGAACAAGAACATTTATCATCAATGGGTTGAAAATCTTTGGCATAACATTCCTTTTTCAAGTTTAACTGTCCTTCTATAACTAGTGCTGATCCAAATCTCTGTTAATGAAATTAAGTTTTAATNTTTGAATGAAGTTTTAGTAATAATAATATCTTTTGATAATTCAATATATTTTTAAGTGTCATTACATTATGTGTGACACTGCATGACAACATTAAACAAGATCAACCAGTATTATAAGGTCCTTTATATAAGTATTTTTTATATTAAAAAGACAATAGAATCCTTAAATAATAAGATTTTTCTTTATTTATACATATTTATTGAATTTGTCTAGTTAGTATTACAACTAACAATGTTACTTTTTGTTTTTAAATCTACAAATTGATTGATAATGTTATCATAATTTAATAAATTTTTTCAGGCATATTATCTTTGTTATGTAATTTTTGAAGCCCCTCAAGATGAGGCCCTAGGAGCATGCCTAGTGTGCCTATTGGGCAATCCATCACTGGCTAAAACTGTTACTAGAACTGTTTCAATATGAATAAAGTATTCAGAAGTGACATTTCTTACGTTAGTAGTGATGCCTTCTGTAAAGAATTTGTAATTATGTTTTCTGTGGATGTTGCACTCATAATAAAACTTTTATATATATATATATAAAAATGGACGTGTATGTCCCTATATTTCACTTTTCCGCCAAAACTACACATTGCACGTGAATGGTGTTTGTATGTAGTAGTAGCCCAAGTCTCCATTCACGCACTATGGGGGTTGCATCTCGATAGCTATAAGGGTGCAGGAGATATGGGGCTGAAAGTGGTTGAAAGTGGTTTTCTATTTCGAATGTTATGTTCGAATTTGTTCGAATTTAATTCGAACAATATTCGAATTAAATTCAAACATAAAATTTGAATATTGGTTCGATTATAGAATGATTGTAAACGTTCCAGAAATGTTAAAAATAGTTCATTTGACTGGACGTGAACAGGAGACATTCAGAAATAGAATCGGGACCAGGTCTCTAATTAGTCTGGAAACGGGGGACCTAATTCTTGCATTCTGTGAAAACGGGTAAGATTGGCTATAATGTAATTATCTTAATCTTCACTATCATTACTTTTTGCCCACAAATAAAAACCCAGCGAAGCGGGTCCTTGCAGCTAGATTCTAGATTACTTAGAAAAACAGTCTTTTATATATAAAAAACAAAAACTATATTACATACAAATGTACGAACAAATAAAAACCAAGCGAAGCGGGTCCTTGCAGCTAGTTATTCTATAAAATTCAATTTCTAACAGAGTTTTATTTATATAAAGTTTAATGTAATTAAATAATATTAAATATTATATTAACACAATCACTACCTGTGATGCCTTGGAGCAGTCTACACTGCAACACCACATGTGATGACTCCTCTCATAAGCATCATAAAAGTTTGTTGTTTCTTGGTCAGAAAATTTTATTACTTGTTTTTAAGAAAGATTTTTTCTATTGTTTATTGAACACTTCTAAGAACATTTTACATAATTTTATATAAAATATGTTCTTAGAAGTGTACAATAATCTTTTATATCTTTTGACATTTTTAATATACATAAACAAATCATTAAAAAATTTCAGCACACAGCTAGGGACATCACTTCCTATGAGGACATACCAGGCGTCTTTTTAAAGTAAGTACTGTTTTAATATAACGCCGCTGGAGCGCTGCAGTCGGCACTTAGCTGTGTGTACCTACATCTGTTGGGAAGCCACAAACGCCACTACGGAGCCAGTCGACTGTGTTTACTGCTGTTTGTGTGTTATTGAAATGCCGCCGCTCATTGAGAATCCCGCCGACTGCGAAGTGCGTGCCGTTATTCGTTTTCTTAGTGCTAAAGGCTCGAAAGTGGCTGAAATTCATCGCCAAATCAGTGAAGTTTATGGTGAAAGCGTTATGAGTGATGGAATGGTATGAAAATGGGTTAGGGCCTTTAGTAATGGCCGCACAAACATTCACGATGAGGAACAAAGTGGGCGACCTTCAGTCATTATCGACGATTTGATTGAAAAAATGGACTGTAGAGTGAAAGAGAACAGACAATTCACGATTTCATCTTTATCTAAAGAGTTTCCTGCAGTTTCAAGAAGTGTTCTCTATGAAATTGTGACCGGACGATTAAATTATCGGAAGTTGTGTTCCCGTTGGGTGCCAAAAATGTTGACGGAGGAGCACAAAACCAAACGTTTGGCCAGTGCATTGACTTTTCTTGAGCACTACAGTGACNATTATTATATCTACCACATTAATAATAAGTCTCACTTGCTATGAAGTATTATCACTGTAAAAAGTTAATTAATTCAAACAAAAATAAAAGAAAAATAAAAAGCTTTTGGAATGATAATATATTAAAATTTGATTTTGTCATAAAACCAATAAAATTTTTGGACTTAAATAATTATCCTCAATAATTATCAACTATTAACCATGGGTAAGTGAATATTTACAGAGAGCAATGCATCATATACCCATTTAGGATACCGATGATCAGGATAGACTTTCTGCATAAATTCTTTAACAAATTCAGGAAACTTGTTTTCTTTGATGCTTTCACGGATTGACCTCATTAAGTTCATCTAAATTTTAAAAAAATTATTTATATAAAATATAAATAAAAAGTTTTAATAGTATCATATTGCTCTCTTCAGTTAGGTAATATTGATCAAATAGTTAAGTAACTTACCAATATTACCTAACTAAGGAGGGCAGTATGATACAGCCAAAATGCATTTTATGATAAAATAACAGTAAAAAATGTAGAGTTGTAATTAGTAAAATAATAACGGATTTATAAATAACTCTCAATGTGGAATAAGCCCCCTAAATAAATTAATGATAAACAGTAACCATTATAATAAGAATTAAATTAATATAATCAGTACTTAAGTTGCTTCCATTGTTCTGGTGAAATAGGCAAATGGAATACACACCTTGTATTAGATTCAAGACATTTTAATGTAGGATATTTTTATGATAACAGAAGAGTTTCAACTCTTTTAGTTCTAAAAGAAAGGGTTGATAATATTAAGGTGTTTAGTGTGTTCCTGTTTTTTAACATATTCTGTAGATTGTTTTATATTGGGTTGTTTGGAACATTTGTAGCGATTTTTGATAGCCAACAGTTGAGACACTGATTGACATGAAAATAATTAGAATTGTACAAATCAATGAATATTATGATAAATGACCTTGAGACACGTCCATTACAAAAACCCATTAAGATTATTCAAATATCATTTAATTTGTCTCATTGCAAAAATGGATGCAAACAACATGCATTATCGACACTTGTTTCTTTATTGTAAAGGCAAAAATGCTGTACAAACAGCAAAAAAAAATATGTGATGTTTATGGTGGAAATGCTGTAGCAAAATCAACTGTTCGAAAGTGGTTTGAAAAATTTAAAGCAGGTAATTTCAGCCTTGAAATGCTCTCCCTCAGGAAGACCCTCATTACTGAAGAGGATCAGATCAAAGCATTATTGGATGAAAACCCTCATTACACAACTCAAGAGTTTGCAGACATAGTGAAGTCATCAAACAGTACTGATTTCAACATCTAAAGAAGCTCGAATACATGAATCGTTACGACATTTGGATACCTCACGACTTAACAGAAAAGAACTTACTGGATTGCATCTCCATTTGTGATTCTCTTGAAAAATGAAATGAAAATGACCCTTTTCTGAAGCACTTAGTGACAGGTGATAAAAAGTGGATCGTTTATAACAACATCAGCAAAAAACGATCATGGGGTAAGAAAAATGAACTACCATTAAAAACTCCAAAGGCCTGTCTTCATCCAAAGAAGGTCATGCTCACCATCTGGTGGGATTGGAAAGGAATCCTGTACTATGAGCTGCTTCCACAGAATCAAACAATTGATTCTGATAAGTATAGTTCCCAATTGGATAAACTGAACATGGAAATTAAAGAAAAACATCCAGAATTAGCCAATAGAAAAGGCATTGTGTTTCACCATGATAATGCCAGACCATACGTCTTTACAAACATGCCAAAAATGACTGGAACTAGGCTGGGATGTTTTACCTCACACCCGACCTTGTCCATTTGTTTCATTCTCTGCAAAATTCCCTTCATGATAAAAGCTTTGACACTTTGGAAGCTTGCAAAAACCACTTGGTACAGTTTTTCATGGGACAAACTAGAAAGTTCTATGAAGAGGGTATCATGAAGCTCCCCCATAGATGGCAACACATCATTAAAAACAATGGTGCATACATAATGGAATAAAAGTATATTTTTAGTTTTAAAACTGTTTCTTTTATTTCTCTTAAAAATCACTATGAACTTTCCAAACAAACCAATATAATATATTGAATGTGTTCCTAGAGAATAACAATTTATATTTCTTTTCTAAATTTTTTACAAAATGTATTTTTTATCTAGCCTTAAACTTCAACTTATTTTTAAAAAAATACAGACACAAAGAGAAAGAAAATCAATATATTTTAAGAAACTGATTCATCTTTATAGTGTTAATACTCACAAAGAATTATATAAATTGTATTAAGGTTTATATAGTGTTAATACTCACAAAGAATTATATAAATTGTATTAAGGTTTATGAAGTTGCTAAGCGTGTCTGCAAAGTCTTATAAATTTTGTTTTTGCTCAAATTTCAGAGACATTCTACATTAAAATATACAAGCAATTAATTAATAACATCAGAAAATCAATAAAATCATAAATACTTATAATTTGCATGTACAAATCTATTCTTATTCATAAACGTAACTCAAAGATAAATTAAACTAATATGTAAATTTTTTATTGGGATGCCAAATTCTCATTAAGAAAAATTCCTTAAATTGTCATAAAAAAATTAATATGCAAATTAGCATTTATAAAATTCAGTACAATTTACAAGCAATTAGCAGTATCTTAATGTAAACAGGCTTTGAAATTGTAGCAATAATTCTCCAATAATAACTGAGGAAAAAGAAAACCTTTATTCAAGAACAAATGAGTTCTTGAAGAAAGCTTTTCTTTTTCCTCAGTTATTGTAGGAATCACTAAACTGGATACATTTTTAAAAAGGAAGACACTATCAATAAATAACTAAATAGTAAAATATAAATATTTAAAAAGAAGAGCACTTCCTAGGTTTCAATACATAAGTAATGTATCTTCATATACATTATGTACCCTGTGATCTACTTGTGATGACTACTGACTGTTTTTGATGGCCAAATGACTGAATAATTATGATGGCAACTTACCATCTGAGGGACCAAGATCAAATCTGAATGAGTCAATGAACCCCCAAGAATTTTTTGAATGGTGGTCCATCTGGATATGTTGCCACCTTATCATTCATCATCCCATTGTGGGCCTGGCCAAACCCATAATGGACTTGCTAAAAAACAGGTAAATTTTAACTGTTTTAATTTTTTTCACTGTCTTTGTATTAAAAATAAAATGGAATGGTAAAAGAGAAAGCATATGTTAGTCAGGACTCCATACACAAAAGATATGTGTTTGCAATGGCAATCACAAAAATTATCATACTAAAAATTTTATGCTGCTCTCTGCATTCATCCTGATAGTACGGCACACATCTTTGGTTTTTCAGTGATCATCATCCCATCCCAGTAGGAAGCTTACAACCTTTACATTTTTGTGTTTATGATGAATATCCCAGTGCATGCTTTATTTTTAAGTATGTAATAAAATTCTGACATAGTATTTTCAGAAACATGAATCTAAAATATTACATGTGATTGCAAAACACAATTGTTTGGGTTTATCTAGAAAACATCTATTTCAATGAGATTACAGATTTTTTGCACATTTCCAAGGCAGTGTTAATACATAACCCAAAATATATAGAGAAGTGACTGTAATAATAAGTGATATGATGCAAAAAAAAAGGAAGTTTTGTCCACAAAAACAAAATTAAACTAAAAAGTGAGCTATAAACAAAATAAAACTGTTGTTAATCAATACAAACAAGAACTAAGACTAATAACAGTTATCAGAATAATTATAGATTACTATTAAATACTATATTCTGGATCAACAAAAATATGGCAATGCTCCAGTAATTTTAAGTAGTATATCCATAAAGCATCTAAAAGCTAGTTTTCCATGTGCAATGATTATTGGCATTAATCAACTGGCATCAGTTTATTTGCATGTGGAAATATGCAAATTTAGGTAACACCACTTGATTGGTGTCAATAATCATTGCACTGGTAAAAGTACAAAGTGGGTGTATTTTTTGGTGCCATTAAATTGGTATGCTGACTTGCATGTGAAAATAGGTTTGAAACCTAACTTAATTCATCTTTTCTAAGTAAATTAGAGCTATGAAGTCTTATTTATCAATCAGTTGTCATAAATAAAAGTAATTCTTGGATACAATAGTAATTTTCAAACACTTAGCAAAACTCTCAAGCTGTTCCAACAATTTATACTATTGTTGAATATCACATTTCTTAATAATTTATTTACTTATTCAAATGATTAAGTTAATTAATATAATAATTTGTCATTAATTCCCAAATTAGAAAGTATGTGAGAAAGGAAAAATATCGTAAGGACTATTATTGTTTTTTCACTAAAGTATACAACAATATAAAAGATTAATGCATCAGATAATATGTAAATTTGTGGTATAATTCTGTTATGGTTGAATAATTGTTTTAATCTAGCTGGATTGTATGCATGAATAGAAATTAAAAACAGGTAATGGCTAGCCTGAATGCACTGGTTCTCATCGGATCAGTGAAGTTAAATATTAAGAGGTCTAGATAATGTAGAATTGCCAGATGCTTTTGTTTAACCTCATCCAGGGCTTGGAAGTTCTGGCCAGTCCTGAATCTGGGTTAAGAGAGAGAAAAAAGGAAGGGTTCAGCTATAAAATATGTCCAAATCAGAATTAAACAGTAATTCCACATAAAGTGAAATTAGTGATGGAGAAATAATAAATGAGAAGTTTGACTGTTTTTGTATGTCATATTTTTTCTGTAGAAACTAAAGCTATTATTTTCTTTATTTACACTATTAGAATGATTATAATAGGTTTACACAATATACATGAAATAATTTATAAAATTTCTGATCAAAACAATTTAAAAAAATAAAATATTTTTCCAAATAATCTATATATATTATTTATTTAAAAGATATTTTCAACTTGCTATTATACAGGGTAGTCATAAAATCTTTCCCTGATTACAAAAATTTATTTTACAAAGAATATATTAGATGAAAATATGAGATTTATGGCATAATTTGGGCTAATTTCTAGAGATTTTTGCTGTAATCTTACCCTGACCGAACAGTCTAGATCAGTGGTTCTTAACCAGTGTTCTGCAAACCCGCCTCAAGTGTTTCATGAAAGAATATTTTAAAGTTTTTATTGAAAATTTATTTTAATGTACTACAAAATACTATCAGATTTATAGATAATTTCATGGTTTTATTTTATTCAATACATTAAAGTTTATGGAATTGTAGACATGGAATTGCTTATCAATTTTCGAATATATTTATGTCAATGCTCCGTGTAATAAAAAGTATGCAGATGGTGTTCCACAGCCTCAGAAAGGTTGAGAACCACTGGTCTAGATAGTGCTGCAGTCACCAGCATTAAAATAGCATCTTTGCAGGAAACTCAATGATTTCTATGGTTTCACAAAACAAAATCACTAATCACAATTCAGCAGAGGTTCAGAAAAGAGTATGGACAAGACTCACCAGATGTGAAAGATTGATATATGAAGCTTAAAGAGACTGGCGTTTTTCTAGTCACCAACACTGCCAGTCTCTTTAAACTTTCCATAGCAACCTTTCATATCATTCATCTTTTCTCCATTCTCTAAAATTTTGCTGAACTGCAATTGGTGATTTTGTTCTGTGAAACCATAGAATGTGTTAAGCTTTTCCTGCAAAACACATTTTTATACTAACAATTGCAACACCACCTGGACTATTCACAGTCTATGTAACATTATGATAAAAAAAAAAACAAGGAATCAGTCTAAATTGTGCAACAAACAATGTGTTTCTAAAGTTTAGCTTTTGCATAATAAGGTAAAAACAAAAGTAAGATACAAAGAAAAATTATTAATAAAATAATATACAGTATATTGTTTCTTTTTTAAAATTTTTATATTATAATAAACATTAACAGAGAAATTTGAAAATAACTTGTTGTTTGGAATAAGGGAATACAACATGAAAGGAATCTGCCAAAGTAAGCATTTCCTAGGAACTGGTCCCTATTTAAATATTAGACATGTGAAGAAAACACAGAAAACTTTGCACAGCAAGCCTGTTGGTAACAAACCTGAAAGCAACTACCAGTGTTTAGTACTTTTAGTCACTTGGCCACAAACCAGCCTAAAAATAATTTAATAATAAAACAATTATAACAATGTTTACCTGAAATGCTACATTGTGAACAGAAAGTAAATGGCAGGCAACTGTTTCACGTGTGACAATGGAATGTAAATAAGCTCTAGTATAATGAGTACATGTGGAACAAGAACATTTATCATCAATGGGTTGAAAATCTTTGGCATAACATTCCTTTTTCAAGTTTAACTGTCCTTCTATAACTAGTGCTGATCCAAATCTCTGTTAATGAAATTAAGTTTTAATTGAATATAGTAAAACAATTATATGAAAAACTTTTTATAAATAATTTAAATTTTAAAAAACATATTTTCATGCAGCAATAAATATAGTAAATAAAATAAAAATGAAAGTCAAAATATTAAATTGATTTTCAATAAAATTACTATTATTTATGCTACAAAAAAAACATTCAAAATATTGTTTTAAGGCACGGATTCCCAACATCTTTCTTGTATTGACCCTTTTCAGAAAAATTTTTCCCTTCAATATTATATATTACATATCATACAATATTATATAAAATATAAATATATATGTAACAGTCTCCTATATAATTTTTAAAAGGTATCTTCCAATATCTATTTGAGAGTAAAAAAATGTGTAAAATTTTTAATGTTTTTAAATAAACTTCTTATATTTACAAAGCTTTATCAACCTCACTCAATGTTTCACTAATCCTATTGGGAAACCCTGTTTTAAGGCAAGTTTGTATAGTTAACTATAATTGAGAAATGGGCAGCACGTCAATCATTTAATAGGAGAAACTTCTTAACATATAGGCATTAAACTACAAATAAATGTTGCTAGATTAACAAGCGCTTTCAACGATAAATATTTTCATCTTTGTCAAGTTGATAAAAATGATTAAAGTCCTTTTTTTAAATAAGAATATCAAATTATTCCAACGGTATTAACATTTTGGAATGAAACATTTGAAAGGTTAACTTGTATAACAGCCTAACACAACATATCTAGCTCCACTATTTGGAGACTTATAGAACATGCACATTATAACCGCAATTTCCTTTTATTTAAATTCTTTATCTTACATTCCACCATTGCTTTCATTCCAAAGCGTTAATACCATTGAAATAATTTGATATTCTTATTTAAAAAAGGACTTAAACCGTTTTTTATCAACCTGACAAAGACGAAAATATTTATTGTCAAAAGCACTTGTTAATCAAACGACATTTATTTGTAATTTAACGCCTATATGTTAAGAAGTTTCTCCTAAGTTTGTATAGATATGAAACTTACATAATCTAAGATAAAATTTTTTGTAAAATTAAAAACATTGTTTTTCTTATATTTGCCTAACCAAAAAATTGTTTTAATGTCTTGGTTATCTTGGTTACTTGGTCTCACAAAGTATAACGATTGCTTTCCTTCACCTCATTAGTTACAATTATCTAAAAAACAAATTCTATGTTAAAGAAAATAAAATATTCATCTTTAGAAAAATAGTTTTTGAACTAATTTAGTCCAACATCAGCTCTCCAAGCAGAATTCAAAAAATGGAATATAGAATTATACTTGAAGAGCAGGTGCTGGACTAAATTAATTCAAAAATTTTTATTTTCCAAACTGTTAAATTAGCATAATCAAAAGAAATATTTTGATTACTTTATCTTAGCAGTTTGATTTTATATAATTTAACAAGATGCTTAGTTTCACGCAATTATTTGTTATCTATATTTTACTATACTTCACATTTCAAGTAACTGGTAATGAAAAACATGAAGATTTTGTTAAGAAGTTCTATAGATTATCAATATCAATAGATTATTAATTAATAATCTATTTTTTGAACAATATAAAGATTAAACAATCTTTATATCTTTATATACAGATTGTTTAATCTTTATATTGTTCAAAAAATTTTAGCATAGAATTTCTACATTATTTGGAAGAAAAGAAATAAAGTCAAAGGCTTTATTTTCAAAATTTGGTGTTAAAATCGTGATTGAAAATATAAAAATGACAACCAATTGTTTATAATGGTAAAAAATGTAATTTGTTATATATAGAGATAAAAAATACAGAAACATATATTATTGTATATTCTTATTATGTAAATCTAACAATCAAATTGCTTTTAAAATAAAACTTCATAAAGTTCTTAATAACAGATTGTTTACTAAATTTGACAAAGAAGAGATGTAAATATATATACAATAACATCCATAACCCAAAGTATATTAGAATAATCAAACAATCTGCCAGATTTTATCAGGCTATCTACTATATAAAACTGAAAAACTGGGCTCTATCACAGTATGCCAAAAACAGCCACTAGGGGCACCCCTAGCTATTATTTAAATTAACAATATAAATTATTATATATATATATTTATATTGTTACAGTAATATTCAGTATATTATTATTTTTATTAGTAATAGGAATTCATTATTATTATTTTTATCTATCTACTATATAAAACTGAAAAAATGGCCAGTCTCTGTCGGCGTATCGAGTGCCAGCAAAGCATAGCGGCAAACCTAGGAATTGTCAGAGTCCGTGCTCGACTCTTTTTTGATGGTATTCGGCATGCATGCTGCTTGCTGTGTTATTTAAAAAGAATTGGATATAGTGATGTAGGTCATAGTGCATGACAATGATAGTTATGCTTTTTTGTTTCATTATTATGTTTTGAACTGGAAACAGGATATTACAGTATTTCTTTGCAATCATAACGGAAATATGTAGTATCTTATTGGTATTTTGAAAGTTATCTCATAAGAAATAAATGTCTTCCAACACTAGAGGAGTTACAATTCAGCACTTCAAACAACCTTTACAGCTCCAGTGGTATGTGTTTACACCTTAGCAAACGTTTTCAACCTCATCGAGGTCTTCATCAGGCTACTTTAATTAGGAATTCGAACGCATTTGGAACAGAACGTATATGATTCAAAATTTATAAAAACAGATTTAAGAATACTCATGGAACGTTACGCATGCGCTGAAACGACTGTAAAGCACGTGTAATATCAAGTTTGTGTAACGGTAGAAGCAGACGAATTATACACACTCATTTATGGGGATGAGTTCCCTCATAACAAAACTTCCACACGCTAGATATACCGACTGCATCTCTGGAGTTGATGCACGTGCCACGTAATCCTGCCTTGTATATTTCCATCGTTCTCAGTTGATCAGTGCGATGTGAGAGCCTGATCATTATTGATATTACACGTGCTTTACAGTTGTTTCAGCACATGCGTAACATTCCATGAGTATTCTTAAATCTGTTTTTATAAATTTTGAATCGTATACATTCCATTCCAAATGCGTTCAAATTCCTAATTAAAGTAGCCTGATGAAGACCTCGATGAGGTTGAAAACGTTTGCTAAGGTGTAAATACATACCACTAGAGCTGTAAAGGTTGTTTGAAGTGCTGAATTATCTCATAAGAATTGGATATAGAGATGTTGGTTTTAGTACATGACAATGATAGTTATGGGCAGTTCACTTTCAACAGTGTTCTGCCGAACATCTCTGCACTTTAGGTAAACCATTTGTAATTAATTACTTATCATTGCTATGCATGCTAACTATTTAGTATGCCCCGATGCCTGCATCAAGCCTTTTAACTGGTTTTAAATATAATTAATAATCAAAACAGAGTAATTTGGCTAGAAGTCCACTATCTCATGATAAATTTAACCACCCATCTCTAACCAAATTTCTATGAAAAAAATCAGTAATTTTTCTACCTCATTGACATTAAAAAAATTTTATTTAAAAAAATCATTCAAAACTTTATTTATTGACAAACTATTTGTAGAGATATTGAAGTATTTTCCTACTATTAAAAAAAGGATAGATATTTTATTAATTAAATAACTGAATGGAAACACAATTATTATTCATTATATAGGCATTATATATATAATATATTTTCACTAATCCAGCATCATTATATAATAGTTCACAGTTCAGAAACACCACGGTCTGTATAAAACTAAGGTGTCAGAATAACTTAACAGTGTTAAATACTGTATTTCAAATATATATATATTGGAACTTTATTATAATTTAAAATCCATAAATTTTAAAAGCTAGAATAATTTGTATTTATAACAACATGTCATTACCTCTAAAACCATTGATTTTAGAAGACAAACAAAAATTCACTATAAACATCAAACATTTAAATGTTCCTTCTGCAATTTTGATTATTCCTGTATTTGTTATAAAGCAGATTAAAATTAAGTTTACATTTCTTAATGTCTTTGCCAAAAACCCTCATCACAATAGTAATAAATATGTATGTGGTATGCAATCATACTGAAAGTCTTTTCACAAGCATGCCAATGCTTAACAATCAAATATCAATAGAGAATAATAATAAAATGCAATGTAATCTTCAATCTTTCCTAGGTTAGTAAACTAATCCTTCACTTACACATCTGAAATTTTCAAGGCTAATCTGAAATTAATATAATAGAGACTGTTTCCCATTATTCAATCACCCTCAATTACAGATCAGACTAAACTTGTGACAAGAGGAAAAAAAAAATCTTACTGTCTACAGAGTAAGAAAAAAAATTTTTTTTTTAAATATTTCTTTTATATCACCTTTTGAAAATACATTTATGATAATCAAGGATATCATTATCAGTCATTTAATGTTATCAGAATAATCATTCCCAAAACATGTAAGTTAAAATGCACTTATAAAACTTAATATAGTCAAAATTTCTGCTATTGTTATCATTATATTTAGGAAAATAGGCATATTTAAGCCATCTTTAATATAGAGATACATGTATGATTATTTAAGGAATTTCTGTACTAAAGTTAATGATATCTTCTTGCTAATAAAAGATTGTCATATGAACTCAATTTAACATTTCTAGTGTATTAGTTTGTCTGAAGTAAAACTAAAAAATACATATGAAAGTATTTCACAATAATTTCTTAGAAAGACATTTGTACCTAAATAGTGTCTGATTATTTAATAATAATTTATTTGAAAGTTTTAAATCATACTTACGGCTGTCCTTGTTGGAAAAACACAATCAAACATATCACATCCTAATGCACAACATACAACTAAATCAACAGCCATTCTGAAATTAATTATTTATTTAAATGTATTAACTTAATACTAACATTAAAATATATTATAAAACTGATTATAACTATTATATTTTAAACTGATATACTATAAAAAAGAATAAAACTGTTATTTATTAAAATAATTCACTTTTAATGAATGTATTAATTTACTTTTATTAGGCAAATTAATTTTATTAAACTAATTTTAGTTCATCAACTGCACATAAATAATTACAATAGTTATAAATACTTAATTATTATAATTAAATTTTATATACCAGAAAATGCCAATAAAAGAACTAATGGAGGGACTATGACAAACCTTGAAGGATTTGTCCTCCAGAGCATATGAAAAATGATTAAATATAATTTTAAAATATTTATTCTTTATGCTTGCTACTAGAGATAAATGTTACTATCAATATAAATGCAAAGTATATGGGCAGATATAAAAATATATTACTGGTTCTATTTGATACTAGAAAGCATTTCTGTCATATTACCAAACTGTGTTCTTATTAAAAATTTAATACTAGAAAAATAATAATGCAGTTCAATGATACTACAGTAGTTACATTAAATTAATGCAGATATTTAATTGTACCAAAAGCAGTTCAAAATACAACTGCTATAATTTTTTGCAGATAACCAAAGGTGACGTATAAACATAAATGGCATTATAACCTACAGAGAATTGTGAAAATGGAAATAATAGCTTTAAAAAAATTAATACAAGATAGTGGTGTAACCAGTTATTTTTAGATTAAAATTATTTTACATTATTTATTAAAAGTTAGCCAAAATATAGCTCAAATAATCTGGCATTTGATGATTTAATTCATTATATACATAATAAGTAATAACAATAAATATTAAAATAAACACAGAAAAAATTGAACAGAAAATAATTTTAATGACAATATCTAATGTGACGTTAGTTGGAGAGTCAATCGCTCAACTCTTAAGTTTAAATTTATTTTACTATTAACTTCTAAATTGAAAGTTATTTAGTAATATTTTAAATTTTAAATAAATGTTCATTTAATTAATATAAAATGGATTTGTACACTATAAAATTTTAAAAAATGAAGCAAGTAGAGCAAAATGATAATAACATTATATTTGGTTTTAATTTTGTTAGCAAAATAGCAAATAGTAATGTTGCTGTGCATAAAAAGTGAGAAGCTGAGGCTATTATTTTAAACATATGAATAATCTTAATCATCAAAATTTACTTTATGTAATTAAGAAAAGAAAGAAAGAAGTTAACAAATAATAAACTTAACAGCCACTTTTCAAACAGTTCTCTGAAATAATATGTTCAGAGGGGAAATTAATTGGAAATCTGTATGCTTTCAATATAAATTTCAAGTAGGAATGTCTTATAACTACAATATAATAATTAAAGTGTGAATTGATGCCCAGAAAATAAACAGTAGAAAACTAAAGACAAGGAATGGGTATATGTATCTTTGGTGTTTTCAGGAGAAATGCCATGATAAATATCTATAGCATGTAATGGATTTTGTACATTTTCTATATACACTCTTGGTGACTTTAAACAAAAAAAAAAAAACCATTGAGTTCATAAGTGTGCATTAGAATTAGCAGATAATCAACCTCATTATGTAACTCAAATTGACTTTTAAACACAGATAAGCTGTGAATTGCTGCATGAAATTATGGTATATGATTCAAAGAAACCAGATGCTGAATGAAGAAACAGTTAAAATACATCACTTGACAATAAATGGAGATATGACCATTGTTAACTTAGAGCAATTGTCACACTAAGGTATCAAAGCACATAAAATAGTATATTTACATATAGTGGTACCTCAGAATATGTCTGCTTTAGAATATGTCCATTGCAGAATACATCCTGTTTGGATGAAACAAATTTTGCTCAGTATACGACTTTTGTTCGGTATACGACTTAATTCAATTATACATGCCATGTATAAACAAGTAGCACTATCGGTGTACTAGGCCCGATTAGACGTTCGTGGTGCCATGGTTTATAACTTTGTTAAATTTCTTCTGATTTTAATTTGTAAGTAAAATTTTATTATTTTTATTAATCATGAAAAAAGTCAAATGAAAAGCAACAGAAAACTAAAAAAATGACTAGAATCACAATGGAACTGAAAAAAAGATTGTTGAGAAATATGAAAGTGACATGCATATTCGAGATTTAACTGTTGCATACCGTATTCTGAGAACAATAATATTGACAATCATGAAAAATAAAGACATTATTAAATCTGCTAATGTTGCAAAAGGGGTTAAATCAATTTCAGAGATTGAAGACATTAGATCATGTTGAGAAATTGCTTTTGCTTTGGATAACTGAAAAACAGTGTGCTGGCAACAGCGTATCAGAAGCAATTATTTGCAAGAAAGCTAAAAAGATACATGCTGATCTCATGAAAAATCAAGCAGGAACTAGCCAGGAAAGCGAGGTGTTTAAAGCCAGCCATTTTTTTTACATGAGAACAAATTAATCATTTTTACATTACTTCTTATGGGAAAGGTTGGTTTGGTATATGTCCTATTCGGTATAAGTCCAAACATCAAGAATGGATTAAGGTCATATACCGAGGTTCCACTGTATATTGCATGCCATAGATGACAAGTACTTCATAATGTATTCTAGTATTTTTCATAAAATTCATTATGTATGAAAACTGCAAACAATAATACTGAAAAATGTGCAATATTTATTCTGCTCTTAATAGAAATGATAGAAATAAATCTTAAAATATCTGAGTTATTCAAATGAATTAAATTATTATTCTAATGTTTTTACATTTCCATAATGACTGCAATTAAACTAATTTTAAAAGTTTTTAATTATTTTAATATATTTTTTAACTAAAATAAATAATTCATTAACACAGAAAAAGAGATTTTTAGTATTTTTAACCTTTCAATATTAGCTCTGGCAACTAAAAATTACTAAAGAGATTCAGAAACAATATCTATAATTCACAGTAACAAAATAATTCAAATAATAAATATATTTTAATTTACTTGTTACTTAGTAAACATAACAGAAAATAAATTAATATAATTTTTACATCTTCTTATATGAAATATATCATATTTACCCAACACCCATAAGATAACGAGGTTTATCATTAGGTAGCAAGTCGGTGCTGACGTCAACCATTTTCCAAAAGCTATCTTTTGATTCTCCACCACTCAGTCCTCCAATAGCAAAACCAGCAACATCTCTCTTGATAATTTCTAAATGAATATATATATATATATATATATATATATATCATTATATATTTAATATATATTTATTCAATTATCATCAGAAAATTAATGTGGAATTTAATCTAAAAATGTAATCAAAAGAATATTTAAATCAATAACTTAAAAATTACTTTAATTCAAATTTATATATTTATCAAGTTTAATTTATACAATTGCACAGTATTCGAAAATTACTGAAATAAGCTATTAATAATTTTTGCAAAATTTATGACTTATTTTAATTTATGGGTTCTTTTTTCTTTACAATCTTTTCAATTGGTGTTATCTTTTTAATTTTTCATCTCATCTCGACTTGAGTTGTTTAGATATTATGGAAGATTTTTATAAAATTAAATATTTATTAATATATAAATAACAAAAATAAAAGCTAATTTTAAATTTATTAACTTAAAATATTTTTAAAACACTAAACTTCTAAACAAGATTTTGTACAATTAACTTCTTTCAGCAATTTTTTCCCAATCATTTTAAGTACAAATAATTTTATAAATATTTGTTGAATATCTTCTAACTCTTTCCATTAACTTAATCTTAAATCAGTAAAATATATTGTCATTCAATATTAAATTTTAAACTAATGCAATTTACCTTCAGTGATATGTATGTAGAAAAAATATTCAAACCAAGTAACCAAATATTGCCAAATTTTTAGGGCTATTTTTATAACAAATTAAATTGATAATTAATTTGGAATAGAAGTAAAGGCTATTATTTCATTTAAATTTTAATAATTAAAATTAATTAAATTTTTATTTTTATATTTCTGAATTACTTATATTATTTAAATTGTAAATTTAGTTTTCATTCTTCATTCACAACATTCTATAGACTTATTTTAATTAGTTAATTAATTTAATTCTAAATATTAAAATTTATAGTCGAAAAAGTCGAAGTCCTGTTGCTCGTCGAAAACGTCGAGCAACAGGAAACTGCGGTTGTCTGTCAACAGAGGAATTTCGGAGGAGGTGTGATGCGTGCGAGAGTGGAGGAGGTGTGGAGCTATGGCAAATCGTCATTCGAATGCTTGTTCTTTTTGGAAGCACAAAGTTTCGGAAAGTGACTTATTAACTTGTTCCAATTGCTCTAAATTTGCTCACTTCTATTGTTTTGGGATCCAGGCAGCAAACTTTCATAAGTTCAGCAAGTCTTAAAAAAAACATGGAAATGTGAAGATTGCAAATTAGTGAAAACCATTAAGAACAATGCAAATTGGACACAGGAACTGGAAGACAACAGAGAACTGGATGAGTGTGAGCAGATTATTATGACTTCACATAATTATAATAAGAACGTGGATAGAACACCAGATAATCTAACTTTCACTCCAATGTCACCTTTAAGTATAACTACCAAAAATTCTGAAATGATTTTACAAGAAGTGAAACTAATACACTTGGAGTTGAGTAACATAAAAGAAACATAGAAATCCAGAAATTGATAGAATGCTTAACAAATAAGTTTGACAAAATGGAAGAGAAAATTAATATTTTAGAGAAAAACTATGTAACTGCTATCAAAACAATGACAGAACTAAAGGAAGAGAATAAAAGTACGAAGGCAGAATTAAATTCTTTAAAAGAAAAATTCTGCATGTTGGAGCAGGATCTAAACAACTCAAGCTTGGAGGTTGTCGGCGTGCCGACACTTCAGAATGAGATTTAACAGAAATAACATATAAAATTTTTTCATTTGTTGACGATAATTTTAATCAGTCAGGTCTATTGAATGTCTACAGAATTAAATCCAGTAATAACGAAAGAAAAGAATTCAAAACTAGATCGCAACCAATTATAGTGAAATGTGCCAATTCAGTTGTCAAACAAAAAATTATAAATAATATTAAAAAGAAGTTAAAAATAACTATAAATGCATGTCATATTATAAATGAGGAATATAGAATATATATAAATGAACACCTTACTCCATATTATAGAAATATTTTCTACAAAACCAGAATGCTAAAAAAACAAGGAAAAATATTAAACACTTGGACAAATAACGGAAATGTGTATTTAAAAAAGGATACTTCTTCTCCAACCATTCGGATACCAACATTGGACAGTTTAGAGAAAATTTTTCGGAATGACTGAATTATTAACACACACAAAGATAGATGACTTCTCCAAAAAGGGCATATTTGTTTTTTATTGCAACGTAAGAGGTTTAAATAACAAATATTTAGAAATATTTAAAACAACCGAGGAATATAACTGCAACTTTGATGTATTAGTTTTTTGCGAGACTTGGACAAATGATGTAAATCCTCCACCATATATAAAAGACTAACAGCAAGAAAAAAAAGAAAGAAAACCTAATCAGCATGGAGGCATAGTAATATATATATATAATGACAAACATTATGAAGTTGTTTCAGATCTAACTTTTACAAATTATATAGATGTAATTACAATAGTTGTAGGTAATTTGATGCTGGTAATAGCCTATCGTTCCCCCTCTACAAACTACGGAATTTTCCTGGATGTTATAAATGAAATACTATTACACAAATCAACCAAATATGGAAAATATAAATTACAAATAATCGGGGATTTTAACATCAATTTACTTAAAAATAATTCCTCCGACACATCTGAAATGGTAAATCTTTGCTTTGCTGAAAATGTAACAATTCTGGCTGATTTGAATCAACCGACTAGATACAGAAAACTTTGTAGATACTCTTTGATAGACTTTGGTCTAACAAACGATAGTGCGTGTTAATTTTTAATACATCAAAATTTGATATCTGACCATCTACCTATCATCGTCTTTACCCCCGAAAAAGACCTTGATACGAGGATAAAGAACAAAACATTCTACTGTAGAATCAATAATTCCTCAATTTGTTGTTTACATTATGCTTTGTCGTCTTGTTTCTCCTGGAGTTATTACTATACTTCAAGTTTGACAACTGACCAATTAGCTGACTATTTATACACCATTTTACTCATTTTTATTGATAAATATCTTCCGACTAAAGAATATGTGAAAAAAAAAATAAAACTAGCAGGAAAGAATTCTTAAAGAATTTTATATCTGAACACATGCTCACATTAATTAAACGGAAGAAAACTTTATTTAAAACAGTCAAAAATAAAAATTGGACGACTTTCGAAGAACGAAACAAACATTTAGAGGATATAAATACCTTGAATAAACAAATTAGAAAAAATATCCGTAATGAAGAGAAAAACTATTATAGTCTTCTGTTTTCTAATGTTAAATTTCCTTCTGACTTCTGGAAAAATATTAAGATGTTACCCTTTCAGGTAACCAGGACAAAGAATAAGGCTAAAATAGATCATTTGAATTACAAGGGGAAAATGATAAATGATGAGCGCACTTTTAGTGACATTTTTGCCGAGCACTACAGGTCCTTGAACGGCTTTGCTCCAGATGTCTTCGGCAATATCAATTCGGAGCAACACAGAACAAATGTTAGTATTTCTAATACTTTCTTTTTGGAAAACACAACAGCCATAGAAGTTTATAATACTATAGAGGGTTTGAAAAACAGCACTCCAGACATCAGTTTCTTAAATATTGAGATCTTAAAACACATATCTGATATCTTAGCTCAACCATTATTGCATCTGATAAATAAATCTTTTGAAAATGGTTACTTTCTGGAAAAACTAAATCAAAACTTAGTTTTGCCATTATATAAAAATAAAGGATCAAAAAGTGAAATTGAAAATTATTGTCCCATAATAATAGTGTCAGTGTTGGCTAAAATTTTTGAGATTTTTTACAAGAGATTTTCAACTTTTATAGACAGATTCCAGGTTATTCACAAAAACCAATATGCTTATAAACGAGGATTTTCGACGGTAGATGCTTTGTTGCATTTGAAACAATCAATAAAGTCACAACTTGACAAAAATAGCAATATCAGTTTTTGTGGACCTTTCAAAAGCATTTGATAGCTTAAATCATGAACTTTTGTATCAAAAATTGCAAACTGTTGGTCTAAGAGGGATTCCTCTAAGCTGGTTAAAATCATACCTGTCAAACAGAATTTACTTTGTAAAAATTGGACAGATTATCTCTAGCTCTTTCAGGCCAAATAAGTGCATTCCTCAAGGTTCAATCTTGGGTCCACTGCTTTATATATATATTGATGATTTGTTTAACTATATACCAAAAGAGAAAAAAACTGATGTACGCTGACAATCTAGTGATAACTTATTCTCGTACAAACGTTATAATTCTTCAGGAGAATTTAAATCACATTTTAAAAATTTTAAATAGTTATATGGAAAACAATGGATTAGTAATTAACAAAAATAAAACTAAATTCCTCCGCTTTGCAAATAGGAATAAAATAATCAATCCGCATCACCTAAAAATTGAAATAATTCATTATAACATAGAAAACATAAATGCTATTAAGTTTTTGGGAGTAACTTTTGATGACAATCTGCACTGGAATAAACATATAGATGATGTTGCACTTTCCCTGGCAAAGTATACTGGGATAAATAAGAAAATTCAAGCTTTTTTAAGTACATCATTCTTGAAACAGCTGTACCACACTTGCATTGAATCTAAAATAAGATATGGTATTGCTGTATGGGAACCGCATCTCTATACGCTGTTAATAAACTTCAGATGGCACAAAATCGTTACATGTGTTCAATTTATAATTTAAACTATGGAATCAATATCTGAACTCTACCCCATCGATAATATCGACAAGATTAGTGAAATTTACAAGAAGCAGATTCTATTGGAGGGTTTCAAATATATAAAGGGAAAAAAAGAAAACAGCTTCCTCGGAATTGGTATAGGTGAATGTCGCAGATCAACACGAGATACTTGTATAATTCGTGAATATAGTCTTCCAATTGTTAAACTAGAGGTGGGGAGATCTGCACCGATCTTTCAATTAATCTTCTATTGGAATAGTCTGTGCAACGATTTACGTAACATATCGAGTTATGAAATCTTAANTTTTTTTTTTTTTTTTTTTTTTTTTTTTTTTTTTTTTTTTTTTTTTTTTTTTTTTTTTTTTTTTTTTTTTTTGTTGGTTTTGTTGATTGCTGTAAGATGCTTGTAAACGGCCAACCTGACCAGTGTCTTTTGAGAAAAAAAAATATATATAGATATATAGATTGTGGTATTAATCATCCTTAGCCAAAATTAATTATTAATTGATTTATGTTTTTAGAAAAATAATCTGAAAATTTTCAGAGTTTATATATTAATAACAGTAACAGTTAGCATAAAATTATTATATAGTCATTACTATGTATTAATAACCATACAGTAATTTCCTGTTAACTTAATTAAATTTTAGAAATTTGGAAAGCATTATAATTGACCTTATCACTCATGAGTAAAATATTAATAACTGCACGACTAAAAATATAGTCAAAATCATAGATACAACCATATTTAAATGTGATAATTTCAATTTAACTTTATCAGTAATGCAAATACTCTTTAAATTGAATTTTTAAATTTTATACAATGTAATTTTTCAAATAAGAAAACTTGTTTATTCAGAAAAAGATATGTAATATGATGTTCTTTTTTTAAGAAAAAAATTCTTTCTTTCTACTAACTCATATCACTTTACAAATAACATTTAACCACTTAGAAAATGAGTTTACAGTTATTAAGCATAAGTATTTAATAAAATGGCCAGGACAATAAATATACAAAATCATTTTTTTAATTGTGTCATCACAAGAGGGAAGATTGTAATGTTTTGTGTATTGAGGGAAATATAGTGCATATTCCTTCTACAAATAAAAAATATAGCTTTGTTATAATGATATTATATAAAACTATATGAACTAGTTAAAATAAATAATATCATCTCTCATAAAATATAACTTATGAAAGATAAAATATCAAACTATTAATAATAAACCCGTTTATTACAACCACATTCAATTACTTTCCCATTTATTGTTAATTTGTTCATGTGAATACAGTGGGTGATCAGTTAACGAACAGTTCGGACTACAAACAAATCAAATAACAGATTTTTGCTAAAGATTTTTATGTTTGGACAACAAACACAAGAAGAAGTGACGTAAAATAATGAATATCAATTGGTCTTCCCTTGTCTTCGGACAACAATTTGAAACTTTTTGGAGCGTGGGAGAAGTCAACATCGACGTTCAACCCTGTATGTACTGATCAGATAATGTTCCTCCGAACTTTGAAACTCTCTTGTAATTCCAACCTTTTATTTTCTTACAAAAAAATTTTTTATAGTATTTGCAAAACCGTCGGTCAGACACTCGTTAAGTTTTGCATCAGTTTTTATTTTTGAAAGGTGAGAGTATAATAGCAAAGGTAGAGAGTGGGCAGATGGTGTCTGATGTTGCTGGGCAGTATGGCTTAAACAAATCTACAGTAGGGCACAGTTTAATCTTATCTAAGAAAGATACAGTATAATCAAGAAGACTCAAGCAGCTAAAGGAGTAACAAAAATTACATCTGAGAAATAAAGAACATTGAAGAGCTCATAATGGAACCTGAAACGGATCTGACGACAGAAGAATACCAAGAACTCTTGAATGAAGAACACCAAGAAACTTGGCGAGATATGTTTTATTCTGAAAAAGAGAATTAACATCGATATCTGCTATTAATGGGGATGTCAGATCAACGGTCTTAGAATGGCATACAAAGCACGTTGAGGTTAATAGGCTTAGGGATCTCTACAATTACAATGCGATTTCCCTGGTAATGCTTTCTACGGGACCAGGATGTACATGTTGTTTGTGCAATAAAAACAATGAATGAATGAATGAATGCCAAGCAAAGTCATCCATGATGTTATATTTTTTCCAAAATTGCATCAAACAAACATAGATTTAAGGAAAGTACAGCACTACGATGAACTGCCACCTTTTGCTGATCAGTTTGTGTTTGGGAATAAACATATTATATACAAATCAATGAAATGCTGTGATAATTTGAATCAGCATAAATTTTGAGCTTTATTTTTAGGCTTCAAGCAGACCACGTTATATCAAATCAGTGTTAATCAAAGCAGCATTAAGTGAGGTCTTATTGTAATTACATAATTGAAGTGGATTTACCTTCTGCACACTTTTTTCTTAATTCTTTATCCAATCCACCTTGGACAATAGGAAAGATGTTTTGTGATTTTTGTTTTTTATGGGCTTTCAGACATCTATCTAACCAACGTATTGTTCTGAAAAAATACCATTTAATTGATAAATTAAATTCATTGACTGAACACTTAAAATAGATGAAATAAATGTTTTTACATTAATATAATAATAATAATATAGTTTTCAATGCTGACAATTTTGTTAATTTAGTTATCATATATAAAATTAAAAACTGCTACATTTTAATTTTACTTATAGTNGTAACAAAAATTACATCTGAGAAATAAAGAACATTGAAGAGCTCATAATGGAACCTGAAACGGATCTGACGACAGAAGAATACCAAGAACTCTTGAATGAAGAACACCAAGAAACTTGGCGAGATATGTTTTATTCTGAAAAAGAGAATTAACACCGATATCTGCTATTAATTAAAGATCTTTTGAAGAAGTAGGGGATGTCAGATCAACGGTCTTAGAATGGCATACAAAGCACGTTGAGGTTAATAGGCTTAGGGATCTCTACAATTACAATGCGATTTCCCTGGTAATGCTTTCTACGGGACCAGGATGTACATGTTGTTTGTGCAATAAAAACAATGAATGAATGAATGAATGCCAAGCAAAGTCATCCATGATGTTATATTTTTTCCAAAATTGCATCAAACAAACATAGATTTAAGGAAAGTACAGCACTACGATGAACTGCCACCTTTTGCTGATCAGTTTGTGTTTGGGAATAAACATATTATATACAAATCAATGAAATGCTGTGATAATTTGAATCAGCATAAATTTTGAGCTTTATTTTTAGGCTTCAAGCAGACCACGTTATATCAAATCAGTGTTAATCAAAGCAGCATTAAGTGAGGTCTTATTGTAATTACATAATTGAAGTGGATTTACCTTCTGCACACTTTTTTCTTAATTCTTTATCCAATCCACCTTGGACAATAGGAAAGATGTTTTGTGATTTTTGTTTTTTATGGGCTTTCAGACATCTATCTAACCAACGTATTGTTCTGAAAAAATACCATTTAATTGATAAATTAAATTCATTGACTGAACACTTAAAATAGATGAAATAAATGTTTTTACATTAATATAATAATAATAATATAGTTTTCAATGCTGACAATTTTGTTAATTTAGTTATCATATATAAAATTAAAAACTGCTACATTTTAATTTTACTTATAGTAAATAATATTAGCTGCTCTAAATCAATAAATAAATAACTTTTTATTTATTACTTATAAATTTAACATTATGTGGAATAAAATAAATAAAAATCTTTTATAAAAAAGTATACATGTCATTTATAAAAATGAAAAGTATAAGAATCTACATACATATAATGCATAACTTTTATATTTATAAACAATTGCTATAATTAGTAAAAATAAAACTTTGAAATTGTTTTTTTACCAATCTAAAATATATGACAGAAAAACACAAAAAAAATGCTGTATTAAAGTGAAATATATAATAAATACAATTTATAAACCTTTCAAATATTAATGCTCATTTCCATAAGAATTTAATACAATTTAACTAAAAATATAACAAAAAATAATAATATTTATCATCTGAGAATAAACAATTCAACATTCAAAACTACTTTTTTAGTTGTTATTGAAACACAATGAACAAATTGAGCAAAACTTCCTTGACAACAACTAAATCACTGAAATGCATTTTGCAAAGTAATGACTAGACTGATTTCACAAAATTTTACACATTAATAATAGTAATAAAATGGCATGTTGTGCCACAAAAACAATGACAAGCCACTGACATATTTATGAAGCCTGTACATTTTGCATAAACTTATGCTTTTTAATCAAATATTCAACTACATTTTGGGTATTTTTATTGTCTGGAAATGTTCACATAAATTTCCTGCTGTTTATTTTGTTTACTTTTTGTTCTATCTATGGATTAGATGCTTATGTTTATATCTTGGACTTGAGTGTATAAAATCTTAAAATTCAGCAAGATAGTAGCAATATGACATAACTAGTACTGGTAAAATACCAGTATTAGCTATGTCAAAAAAAGAAAAATTATAATATATAATTTTTACAATAATGTCTGTTTTTGAATATTTATAACAAAATAATATTTTATATATATGCACATTTGTATAAAATTATACACACCGATGCATTGCTTCTTCAACTCTTGGACCACTTACTGTACTGCTGACAACATCATCAAGTTGCATTGCTACATCTGCTCCAATAGTATTTTGTATCTCTATTGATTTCTCTGGAGAAAGCAGCATTTTTTCATCAGTATAAGGATTAGTAAATTCTACTCCTTCTTCTGTTATTTTAGATAACTTTAATAAAGAAACCATTTGAAAACCTCCACTGTCCTGTGTAAAAATGTAAAAGTGTAAAAATCATTTTCATCAGTGAATATTTTAAATTCTCCAAAGAATTTATCATTAGTAAAATATAATAAACAAAGATTAAAAATTTTTTTAAAGTTTTGATTTGAATAATTAAATTACAATTTTAAATTATTAATCAAAATAATTTTTAAAATTGCTACTTTATTATAAAAATATTTAATGCATTACTTATGAATAAAATTATATGAAACAATAATTTTAAAAAATTAATATTTTAAAAGCTATAAATTATTTGAGACTTAATACTCTTAAAAGTTAGAATTAGTATTTTTTCATAAATTACTTTAACAAATAAAAATAAATTTAAAAAAATAACTGCCTAGAATTATACATGTGTGTGTTTAGATTCTAAAAACTATTTTTAAAATTTCTCTTCATCTAGATACATAATCTTAGAACCTCATAATAATTCCTTTATTATATTTCCAATTATATTCTTATTATTATACAATTCCTTTTATTATATTTCTTTGTCAGTCAGAAAGCATTCTACATTATAATTGTAGAATACTATCTGACTGAAGAGGAGTACTTAAGTACTTGAAATGCATTTTATGGCACAATAAAATTTTATTGCATCATGTGTTAATTAATCGTTAGTTAAAAGAAACAAGTTTATTTTTTCAAAATCATTATTGACATGATGATGATGATCATCATCATGTCAATAATGATTTTGAAATGTGGCAACACAATACATGATGATGATAATCATCATCATCATCATGTATTATATTTCCACATTAAGTTTCTATAACAGGGGGGAAATGTATGTTATAAACCATCAAATAAGTAATTATAAGACAGTACAGATTTTATAACACATACCATTAGTAATACATTTATAAAATTATATTTTACTTATAGTATGTGAGTTCCACCAGCTCTCTTGTTAAACAAATCACCCACCAACCACTATTATGTATTGCAAAACCCTATGTAAGAGAAAATAAAAACAAGTACAGTGAAACCTCATTTAGTGAACATCTTACTTAAATGAACAATCAGAAAATTCCTCTTGAAAATGCCATAATTAGTTGTTAATTGAATCTCATATAAGTGAATATTAATATTACAATTTTCCTCAGGAGGTCTTGTGTGCACTTTTAAGTGACCAGTTTTAATTCTCTTAATTGTTCTCCAGACAATAAGTGCCTGGTTAATTTCTTGTTGTCAAATTTAACTTCTGGAAGCAAAGTAAAGTGAACAAAACTAACAAGAATGCAGAATTTTCTAAAAGTCCTGAAACAGAGAGAAAAAGCAGTTTGTTACACTGTCAGCAGTCAACTTGTTATTTGTACTTATGGATAAAGTGTTATTTACCATATATAAAACAGATCAAGGAGAATTATAATTTCCTTATGATTTACAAGAAAAAATCCTATCTTCCTCTTGCTAGCACTGTGACTCTTTGAGGTTCTATGCTGCAGACACAATCTTTCTCCAGCTCTTTCTGTCTGAAACAATGATTCTCCAGTCAAACATTCTTAATAGTTTTAGTTTTCTGTTTTGACTAACCATCATTTTTCAAGTTGTCCTTGAGATCAAATGCTTTCCATTGTTTGGATATAGACAAATTATAGTAGCCAGTCTGTGTGCATTCATTCAACATAATTCAGCAATCTAATTTGACTGACTTTAAAAAAATTCCTGTTCTATACACTCCCCTCCAAATAAGCATGAAAGTGAAAAATCAGACACAAAATAGAAACTACAGCAGTAATTTTTCAAATTTTACATTAATACAGAATAGTAATAAGCAGAATAGGATTCTGCTTTATTTTGTATGCTAATACAAGTAGTGAGTTTTGAATGTAAATATGACATTAAAAAAAAAAATAACAAAAAAATGGACAAAAGGAGAAGTCATATTTGTGAATGAGAAATGTTTGTTAATAAGTAATATGACCTTCTCTTACACTAATGCTGACTGCACAATGATGATTCATGCCAGTTATCGGATGATCAACGAGGTCAGAAGGAAGTAATCGCTACTGTTCTATGAGAGCAAGTTGGAGCTCTTGGATATTATTTGGAGGAGTTTGGTGGTAAGCTACAGCTCTCCTGAGTGCATCTCATATATGTACTCTTTAGGGTTCAGAATTAGTGAATACACTGGCCATTGTAGTCACTGGATTCCCTCTGCCATTAGGTAACTGCCATACTTTATAAGCTCTATGTGGCAGTGCGTTATTGTCCATAAGAACAAATTCAGAACCAATTGCACAAGGTTAAACATACTGGTCAAAGATTTCATCCTGATATCTTTGACCCATCACAGTACCACTGCAGAAGACATGGAGATCAGTACATCCACCTACAGTTAGTAAATTGGTAAAAACCAATTAACATCATTCAATGGCATTCTTCTGGTAGTGGTGTCCCTGTATGGGCCAGAATAGGCCCATACAAGGACACTACTACCAGAAGAATGCCACTCAATGATGTTAATTGGTTGATACTATGTATCAGTCTCTCTCCAAACAAAAGTTTATTTAATAGAAACCTCACTAATATAAAATTCCAATTTTTAAGTCCATTCATCTTTGTATTAATGAGTTTGACTGTGTATATTTGTCAATTAACAAGTTTATAATTGTTACTAAATAAAACATATTTATTAAAATTGCATTATATATGTTTATTTGGTTATTAAAATATGTATTTGAACTAAACAAAAATTATAAAGTTTCGTGTTTAGATAAAAAAAATTGAAGTTTTTAACTTAATAAATTTTGTACACAACATATAAAGATTATTATTCTGTACAGACAAAATAATAAATTTTAATAATATTTAAGGTGATTTACACATTAAAGGCACTTAATATAATAAATAAATATACAATGTATCGTCTTTTATTCCAAATATATCTATTATGTATCTATTAATGTAAGTATTATACTAAAATTTATCTTTGTAAGTTCTCAGTCAATATGATCAATGAAATTTTTATTGTTTATTTAACCATTATTATAATAAATTTTCAGTAAACATGTTTTATAAATATAATGCAATTTTAGATGTTATTTTTTTAGCAGTATCTATCATGTCTTTTAAAAAATAATTACAGTAAAATATCAGAAATCTGGAGTGATTGGGCCATATCCCATTTGGATTTTCAAATATATAGGTAAATTAGCATTTTAAGTACTGTAATTCAAGTTTAGGTGTTCTAAGTTCTAGTTAGTATTTCACAAGGAATGTAGGAATGCTTACAAAGATTCAGAAAAAAATATAGTTTACAAAATCACTACATTTAAACAAAAAAACCACACTAATTATAATTTCAAAATTAAAAAACTACACATTCTAAATCAGCATTTCTCGAAGTGGGCAATAATGCCCCCTTATGGGCGATGAGTAAATCTAGGGGGTGCTGAAGACAGGGTATTGAACGGTGACCAAAGGCAAAATTGGGGTCACTGAAAGCTGTTCCCTTTCCTCTGTTAAACTGATAAGAGGAAACATTGAGTTTAATGGTTTCCAGATGTTGAGAACAATATACAGTAAGGGCACAAAGTGTGAGATTCATAGAAAAGTTTTCCTAAGAATATTTCCAATCCTTTCTCACACAAGAGAAAATGGGTTAGGGGGTGTTGGGTATAACTTTATGGAACAAAGGGGCAGTGGATCGAAAAAGTTTGGGAATCACTGTTCTAAATGAATGTTCGAACAAGCAATGCAAGGACAAAAGAACATCAACAACAAAATCACCAGTGAAAGAATTAATATCCATTTATGAATGGTGTATACAGATTTTTGACACCTCACTGTATTCTTTTATATATTCTCTAAAGCAGGGATGGCCAACACATAGACCGCGGTCAACCGCAAAGGTTTTGAAAGTAGCCCGCAAAGCTAAAGTTAAACAATTTTCTTTCACTTAAATTAATGTTTAAAAATCTTAATTCGATAATTTATTCTTACAATAATAGACTGTCTGTGCAATGTACCCATACTGTTTGTATTTATCCTGATGAACAATGCAAATGAATGTTAATGCATGTGCATATAAATGGCAATCGCAAAAGTGGCACAAAATCATGTGTCAGACAGTAACGTCACAGCCCCTGGCTTCAATCCACTTGTTACTCCTTGTTTGTGCACTTGTATTTACTTTCAATTTTAGTTTTTTTTTATTTATTCATACAACGAACAGAAGCAGGTATGTTAATTTATTAATTATTGTTTTAAATGTTATTAATATTTAACCCTATTATTTTAGAATGAATAAACCAAGTACAGGCCGGAAAAAAATAAAAACTTATCATTATCACAGTGAATGGGAAGAAGATTATTTCTTTACTATGATGAAAGATAAATGTGTGTGTTTTATTTGCAATGCAACAGCAACTTTGCCTAAGAAAGCAAATGTTGAAAGACATTTTCTAACAGTTCATAAAAACTTTGAAGAAGNTACAGGCCGGGGAAAAAAAAACTTATCATTATCACAGTGAATGGGAAGGAGATTATTTCTTTACTATGATGAAAGATAAATGTGTGTGTTTTATTTGCAATGCAACAGTAGCTTTGCCTAAGAAAGCAAACGTTGAAAGACATTTTCTAACAGTTCATAAAAACTATAAAGAAGATTATCTACGTGGTACTGCATTAAGAAAGGCCAAAATGCAACAACTGAAGGCACAATTAACTGCGCAACAAAATAGCTTTTTTAAATACAACACAAACTCAAAGACTGCTACAATTGCCTCATTCAAAGTTGCTGATACTTTAATTAAACATAATAAATCGTTTCAAGATGGGGAAGTATGGAAAGAGGCTTTTATTAAAGCTGGAGAAGTATTGTTTCAAGATTTTAAAAATAAATCGGAAATAATGGCATCCATCGAAAATATGTTGTTATTGTGAAATACTGTTATGCGTAGAACAGAAGGAATTAGCCAAAATCTTGAAGATATTTTACATGAAAACATTAATAAATGCATTGTATTATCACTACAGTTTGACAAATCTATGGACTATATTGGCACTGCACAATTATGTGTTTTTATTCGAATGGTTTTTGATGGATAATATATCAGCCACAGAAGAATTATTAACTATTATTCCAATGCATGAATGCACAAGAGGTCAGGATATCTTTGATTTGTTTAAAAATTATGTTGCATGTACAAATTTTCCAATTTGCAAGTTGGTATCAATAACCACTGATGGGGCTCTGGCAATGATCAGTAATAAAAGTGGTTTCATTGCTCTGTGTAAAAATGATGACAACATTCCAAATTTTATGGATTATAATTGTATTATACATGTTCAAGTGCTATGTTCAAAAGTATTGAAATTCGATCATGTTACAGATGTTGCATTTAAAATAGTAATTTCAATAAGATCTAAAAGTTTGTCACGTCGTCAGTTTCGCGCTTTGCTGAAAGAATGCGGTGATGAACACAGTGAACTGTTACTACATAGTGACGTAAGACGGTTAAGTCGTGCTACATTTTTAACGAGATTTAGAGAACTTCTGCCACAAATATGCTCATATTTACAAACTAAAGGTGATTCATATCCACAATTAAATGATCAAAAATGGCTTCTGATCTTGCTTTTTTCTGCGATGTTACTAAAAATTACACCAATTAAATCTGCAACTACAGGATAAATGTAAAACAATAATAGATATGATAAGCATTTTGAAGTCATTTAAAGAGAAACTAAATATGCTTGCAATGCAATTAAAACGTTGTGATTTCAAGCATTATCAAAATCTGGCTGATGAGTCTAAAAATAAAAAGAATCTTACTTACAACAAATATGCCGATATTATTGCACTGCTTTTAAAAGAATTTGAAAGAAGATTTCTAACATTAAGTGAACTTGAAGATATTGCCATTTTTTGTATTGCCCATTTAACGACAACATCGATGTTGAAAGTGTAGCTCAAAAACTAAACAACTTTCTCGGTACTACAAATTTAGCAGGCTTGGAAGAAGAAGAAATAAATATTAAATGTGACATAAATCTTAAGTCACTGGTTTCACATTGTAATTTTTGAAAACTGATAAACAAAGATAAATATCCAAATATTTGGACAATTGTTGCACATTTCAATGCCTTCTTTGGATCAACATATTTTTGTGAATCCGCATTTTCATTTATGAATGTGATCAAAACAAAAAATCGATCACAATTAACAGATCAACATTTGGAATCATGTTTGAGAATTGCCTTAAGTTCATATGAGCCAAATTTTGAAAAACTTGCTGCACTTATGCAATGTCAGATTTCATCCAATTAAACATTTTTATTCATTTGCTTATTCACAGCATATTTGTTTTAAGTTAATAAGTATTTCATCTCAAAAAATAAAAAAATTATAATTAACATTTTTTTCTTTATTTGCTAAAATTTTTTGTGTGTATTTATTTCTTAACATTGTATTTTTTTAATTTAATAAATATTATTGTGCTTCATAAAATAAAAAAAATATAATTATTTGTTTTCTTTATTTGCCATAATATTTTTTTAGTTGAAATTCTTGTTAATTATTTATTATAATATGTATGAAAAATTTGAAAAATCCTAAAATTGTTTTCCCTATTCATAGTTGCCCACAGACTATATTTTACCAAAAAAGTAGCCCCTAAAAGATAAAAGTTTGGCCACACCTGCTCTAAAGTCTATTAAATATATTTTTTTAAAATTCGTAATTCATTTTTATTAAAGGTTAACTTATAAATAAATAATAATATTTTCTCACTGTTAACAATGCCTTTTTCCATCCCATAAAATTATGAAGTCCACCAGCTTTTTCTAAAATTTCTTGACCCTATTAAAAATATTTTAAAACATTAAACATAAATAAATTTAATGAAATTTTTTCTTATAGTCAATAATATTAAACATAAATTTAAAGAAAAGTTCTAAATATAAACTAATTAATATATATATATATAACTCTTGCTATAAATTTTAATATGATAAATGTTTGATGAAATTATCATATATGACTAGTAAATAATTATTAATATAATTTTACATAAAAAAATATAACTAAAAATATAGCTAATATAAAAAATAAATACTAAATTTTACATAATGGGTCTTGTTTATAATAGATTTTAGAAACAAGCATTTAAAATCCTTCATTGTAAATATCCCTTATTTAGTTCATATCTAATTCCTTCAAAAATAATATCAGAAAATAAAGTGTACAAGAAGTTTTAGATGTAATCACAAAAGCTTTATTCAGAGAGATACAGAAACTAGTTACTGAATGAGTAAAAATACCTAGAGTAATGGACTTTTTCTCTAACAATTGTTTTATTGATGAATAAAAATAAGGAAAAATTCTACATTAAAAATATTTTTGTTTCTGAAATTTTTTCTTTCCTGAAGCAGAAGTTTTGTTTTTTGTGTTTTTTTGTCATAACATAAGAATTATTAATACTAGATTATACTAAAAAATATGTATACTATAAAAATTGAGCAAATGAAAGCATTTAATCTAAATGTAATACATTTAGAAATATACAAATACAGTAGATCCCCCTATAAGACGGTAGATACGTTCCGTTCTTTATGAATCAATTTTGTAGGAATCATAGTTTACGGACTACGGCTGTTTGAAAGGTTTTCTTTCATAAAATTAATCGATTCTAGACTAATTCGACTCAACATTTCCAAAATACGTATATTTTTTTGAAAATAATCCGTATAAACTACGTTATAAACAAAAAATTGTAGGATTGCTTACCGAGTGTGTACCGTTCGACTACGCCCGTTGCTAAAGCTTGGTTTCGTCGCGGAACAGCGCATCAAATTGCGGCCGCGATTTCTGATATTATTTTTCTGCGAAAACTTCGTTGACCTTTGGAGACATCATTAATATAAATAATTTTTATGGCCGTTAAATAAGAAATGTTTCTTTCACAAGAAATGTATAAAATTACAGTACTAAACAGACGATAGGTCGCCTAACTCGCCGTAGCGTGACGCTAGACGGCGAAAAATATATATTTAATTATAATAAAGTTACAATAAATTAAGTTAATATATAATTATATATACAGTACCTAATTTATATATAATTAATATATAATTATATGTACAGTACCTAATTTATATATAATTAATATATAATTATATGTACAGTACCTAATTTATATATAATTTATATAATACTGTCCAGACGATAGAAATCTCTCCGTAGCGTGGCGCTACGGACGGCGGGTAAGTAGTTCGGCTGCCCGATGACGTTTTACGTATTATAGGAGTTATTTTTACCGTTGTTTACGGATAATGCCACAATTTTTATAGGAATCATAACTATAGGAAACGCTTTTATAGGGGGATCTACTGTACTATAAATAAAAGAAAAAAAGTTATATACAGTATGTTTGAAAAGAACTGACAAATTATGAAAAATACAGTGGGTGATCGGTTAGCAAACATAATCCGTTCCAAGACTTTGTTTGCTATCTTTATTGTTCATTAACCGATTATCGATTTACCATAGGTTTGTATGGGAATTTGATTAATTCATTCTGGAGACCCCAAAAAATAAAAAATATATACTTTCTTACTATGTTTATTTATATGTAATAATAAAAATACATATATACACAGTCTTGCATTTTTATTAGTTATGTTTTTTTGTTTGTGGGGGTTAAAAAAATCTGTCTAATGTCGATTGTTTTTCTCTCTTCTTCAGGATTTTCCGGAAGTAATTAATAGCATTGTAATTGTAGAGATCCCTAAGCCTATTAACCTCAACGTGCTTTGTATGCCATTCTAAGACCGTTGATCTGACATCCCCCACTCCTTCAAAAGATCTTTAATTAATAGCAGATATCGGTGTTAATTCTCTTTTTCAGAATAAAACATATCTCGCCAAGTTTCTTGGTGTTCTTCATTCAAGAGTTCTTGGTATTCTTCTGTCGTCAGATCCGTTTCAGGTTCCATTATGAGCTCTTCAATGTTCTTTATTTCTCAGATGTAATTTTTGTTACTCCTTTAGCTGCTTGAGTCTTCTTGACTATACTGCATCTTTCTTAGATAAGATTAAACTGTGCCCTACTGTAATTTGTTCAAGTCATACTGACCAGCAACATCAGACACCATCTGCCCACTCTCTACCTTTGCTATTATACTCTCACCTTTCAAAAATAAAAACCGACACAAAACTTAATGAGTATCCACCCGACAGTCTCGCGAATACTATAAAAGAATTGTTTCTGTCAGAAAAACAAAAGGCTGGAATTACAAGAGAGTATTTCAAAGTTCAAGGAATACTATCTGATCAATACATATCGGGTTGAGCGTCGATGTTGACGTCTCTCACACTTCAAAAAGCTTCAAATCGTTACCTGAAGACAAAGGAAAAATCAATCAGTATTTGCTATTTCCATCACTTCTTTTATGTTTGTTCAGTGAAGTGTTCATTATCTGAACATGTGTTCATTGTCCGATCATAAAAATCTTTCACTAAAGTGTTCAATATCCAATTTGTTCGTTAACCAATCACCCACTGTATTATGTATTTAAGAAAAACAGACAAACACATGTAGTTTTCAGTAATCATAGCAAAACTTAAGTTTTATACAACATTATAGTATATTGTGTTGCAGCAGATAGATAACCAATGGATGAGTGAGATTGAAACACCCAGTTTAAGTTTGCATAATAAAAAATAAATACTAAATTTTACATAATGGGTCTTGTTTATAATAGATTTTAGAAACAAGCATTTAAAATCCTTCATTGTAAATATCCCTTATTTAGTTCATATCTAATTCCTTCAAAAATAATATCAGAAAATAAAGTGTACAAGAAGTTTTAGATGTAATCACAAAAGCTTTATTCAGAGAGATACAGAAACTAGTTACTGAATGAATAAAAATACCTAGAGTAATGGACTTTTTCTCTAACAATTGTTTTATTGATGAATAAAAATAAGGAAAAATTCTACATTAAAAATATTTTTGTTTCTGAAATTTTTTCTTTCCTGAAGCAGAAGTTTTGTTTTTTGTGTTTTTTTGTCATAACATAAGAATTATTAATACTAGATTATACTAAAAAATATGTATACTATAAAAATTGAGCAAATGAAAGCATTTAATCTAAATGTAATACATTTAGAAATATACAAATACAGTAGATCCCCCTATAAGACGGTAGATACGTTCCGTTCTTTATGAATCAATTTTGTAGGAATCATAGTTTACGGACTACGGCTGNACCCACTGTATTATGTATTTAAGAAAAACAGACAAACACATGTAGTTTTCAGTAATCATAGCAAAACTTAAGTTTTATACAACATTATAGTATATTGTGTTGCAGCAGATAGATAACCAATGGATGAGTGAGATTGAAACACCCAGTTTAAGTTTGCATAGCTTTTCAATATTATGAGTAACATGTAATGCACATATCGAAATTTATTAATGAGAAATCCTTTTGAGTTTGCTCGCTAACTAGGGCAAACCATGTAGTTTATCTACTTTCTTAAATAAATATGAATTTACGTAATCTGTCAATTCTTTTTCAAAAATCCTCTACAATTATGCAGCATGTTTATAGGATCTCTATTGATTGATATTCAACAAAACAGTCATACAATAATGTTAAGACAATATTTAAATAGACTTTGAAGAACGATATACTATTAATTAACAAATACATTGACGTTTAACATTCAAAAACATAGAAGCCGAGAAAGGCCATAATGGATAAGAATAGTTGTCTGAATAACATAAAAACAATATTCTAATGATTCTAATACAGTAGACCCCCCCTATAAAATGGATTCATATAATTCGGATTTGTATATAATAGCGAAAAAATTGCAATCATATTCATATAAACACACTAAACAAGACTTCTATATAATGGTAAAACATCATCGCCAACTCTTGTCGCGACAGGATTGGTCGAATCTAGACCAATAGTGGATATTGCACAAACCGTTGAATTTAAACGAGCAGCGGATCTACTAAAAACCATTTATTATTTAACATCCATAAAAATTATATTCATATTAATGATGTCTCCAAATTTCAGCAAATTTTTCGCAGAAAAATAATTTATCAGGAAACACACGTGTCCCCATTTGATGCGCCACGACGAAAACAAGCTTAAACAATGGCGTCATCAAACAGTGCACACTCGGTAAGTAATCCTACAATTTTTTGTTTATAGCATAGTTTATATGGATTATTCCCAAAAAATTATATGTGTTTTGGAAATGTTGAGTCAAATTAGTCTATAATTGATTAATTTTATGGATGAAAACCTTTCAAACAGCCGTAGTCCATAAACTGCACGCATGCCAGGCTGTGATTGGCTCGTGTATTTAAGGACTCATAGAACATCAATTTCATAAAGAATGGAACATATCTACCGTGTTATAGGGGGGTTGACTGTAACTATATTCAACTCAAAACTGGAAAAGATGACTCCATTGGTATAAAGGAAAAAAGAAACTAGAACAGGTTAAAGGAGTCAGGATATTTATTCAGATTAAGCGCAGCTTTTCGGGATTTTTAATTCCCTCTTCAGAACGACAACATTTGATATTCTGATAATTCAAATAGACGAATATTCTACTTATCAAACTGTCAATGTTGTTGATCCGAAAATGGGATTAAAAATTCTGAAAAGTGCTTAATCTAAATAAATATCATGACTCTTAACATATTCAAGTTTCTTTCTTTCCTATATTCAACTTTATTATTTTTCATTAAAGATAAATTAAACCATATTGATATTACTATCAATGATTATGTATTCATTTTAAAAAATTGCAATCAATAATTTTAATAACTATTTATATTTGCGATTATTTCCTTTCATCAAATTCTTCCATATATTTTTCTGAATATAAAACTGTAAAGTAGATTTTATTAATAAATAATGACCAAATCTAAATTTCACAATAAACAATATTTTCAGACTTTTGAAGGTTGTCATCATACAAATAATACCAAAGAACTGGAGTCATTCATTCAATGGAAATGAAAATGGAAATAATCTTCTACACAGATTTGATGTTACTGTTTATGTCATACATTCTTTCAAAGCTCAAATTATCTGACATAAGCAAAAAATGTTAAGTAACAAAAAACATTTTTGTGAAATAAATTCATTCTAAAATATTATTTTACAATCAGTTTATTTTATCAGTTATGTAGTTATTCTGTTCATAAACTTTTTATCATCTTTATAGAAAAATATTTGGCATTTTAATTGAGAAACATTAAATAACTTACATTGGAAAAGAAAATCCCATTTAAAATTATTATTATTTGTTAACTTCAATTGTAAAGTTAACAAATAATAAAAATTTGGAAAAATTAATTATACAGTTCAATAATTTTTAAACTAACTTAAATTAATTTCCTTAAAATTACATTTGATACATATGTTCATACAATAATTTCATTTATTATATTTATCATCTTTACATTCTCAAATTATTGATACTAAGAATAAACTTAAGAATGAAGTGTGTTCTTGGAAAATAAATAATTACAAATAAAAATTATTCTATCAACATTACAATATTATAAAATAAAAATTTATGATTTTTTTAAAATTAATAATCTACTAGACAGTAATATGTGTCTACAATGTATTTATTAATTTTGATATTGTACAGATGTTTCACATTTTTTTGAAGCAATTACATAATTTTACATAACCTATTGTGATTATTGTATTGTCAATTAAATTAAAGAAAAGTAATCATATTCATTGGAGATATATAAATAGAAAATAAAAATAAGTGATAATTTCTTTTTATAAAATATAATAAATGTGTAAAATTAAAAATTAAATTGTAAAGAGACTAAATTTCTATTAATATTTATTTATTCAGAACAGGTTATAAGCATAAAGTTTCAAATTATAAATAAATTAGAATTTCTTCACAATTAACAATAATTTTAAGAATAAAATTAGCAGAATTTTTTCAGAAGAGACATGTAAAATTAAAAACAATAATCATATTTCATTTTATTAATTCATCAAGCGTAAAATGATCGACAATTTAATTTGATAATGTAATTTAAAAATTTATCATTATCGAATAATTTTCAATCTGGTATCAATAATTTGAATAACATTATATTTTTATATTACTTTATTCACAGAAATAAATTATTGAAGAAAGGCCTTAAGAATCACAAAGTAAAATATAACCAAAACTGGTTTATATAGTTTTTTCATTTATTTTTTTATTTTTGCTTAGATTTTAGGCCTAACACTATTTTGTAGTTAATAAAAAAATAGTGTAAATATGTTTTTAGGATTTTACATGCACTAACAAGTGAAAAAAAGCTGTTTTGCTATAAGGAAATATTTGCTTTATAGCAGTGATTGGAGTATAATCTGCCATGTTAGCAAGATGTGCCTGAAATGAGAATTTGTACTTATTAAAGAAAACATCAAATTACTTACAATTTAAAATCATCCCTATCTTATAGATTAATTATATTTTCAAATCAATAGTAATGTGAAAAATATTACTTTTTCATAATAAATTTACATAAGTATTTAAAAGAAGCATCTGAAAAATAAATACTTTTTATAAAACAAAATGTAACTACTTAATTTTATTTCTATAGTTTTACTGAGAAATTGTATAATAATATCACCGATAAGTGAATCTGATAACCAACCTTATTTCATAATATGTAAATACAGAAACTGCTATCCAATAAACTGAAAACTTGACGAGAGTTATCGGTTAAAAAATAAATAAAAGAATAAAAGAAGTAACTTATATTGTTTGAACTTACATTTTTGATTTGTATCGAATTTGTACGCGCTTTAAATTTGAAAATTGCAGACCTTTTTACAAAATATTTCAATTTCTATTTATTGCATATATAGTATTTGTGTACAAAATATTTTTTATTTAACATAACAATATACAGTATCTAAAAATAGCAAACAGTTACTTTGTAGCATCTATATTTTGACTAAGTAATGTATACAGGGTGTATCAGAATAACGTTTTAAAAATTTGGGGGACTGTAGAGGATAAAATTTTGAACGTTTTGATATAAGGAACCTATAGCCAGAAATTTGAACTAAAGTGTCTACGGCGGTAGGAAGCGATCGACCGCCCTTCACTCTGGTAGCCACCCTTCCGTCCGTCGACGTCGCATTATTGCTGCGGACGGAAGTCCGTAAACACGCAACTACGGCGGTCTAACCGAGCCCGCGTACGGGACATTCCGTACTTAGTACTCGTCGTCCTTCGAGTCGCCCCTCGCATCCGCCGGCACCGTGCCGTAAACACGCAGCTAGTCAACGCGAGTCGAAGTCGGCGGTCGTCACATCGAACGTTTACTCTAAAGTAGTGCAGCCACCGATTCGACGTACAGTTCGATCGTACTCTACCGTTTTGTCAATAAAACTCGTCATAAATACCGTATTCTGCCGTTTCATTCAACATACCGACCGCACAGAACGTGCAAAGTGCTATAGAAACTTTATATCACATTTCGAGCCGTAGGTTCCTCATATCAAAACGTTCAAAATTTCATCCTCTACAATCTCTCAAATTTTTAAAACATCATTCCGATGCACCCTGTATATATCAATAAACATTTTAATTATTTTATTCATTTTTGTCTTCAGGAACAAGTTATTCCTTTATTAACTATACCAAAATTTCTTTTTTCATAGATTATAAAGTTGGGTTTTTAATAAAATTACTAACAGGCATAGAACAGAATTCTGTTCATTGATAAATTCGAGGGGAAATTAAAACTGAAAAATAATTTTAAAATTTTACGTTTTACCATTTTTGTAAAAATTCGAATCTTCGTTTTAAGTTCTATAACTCAATATTGTAATAACAAAGCACCGTACTTTAAAAATGTATTAAAGACATTGAGAAACTTACAGGTCTAGTACCAAGGTGATAAGTATTGCCTAAAATTAGATTGCATCCAAGTCTTTCTATTTGTTCGGGAAGCAAACCTTTCAGAGTTCCCTGAGTTCCCACAGGCATAAAAACTGGAGTTTCTACGACAGCGTGAGGCAAAGATAATATCGAAGTTCTAGCTTTAGTCGTCGAACACGTGGCTAAAATTTTAAACGATAAAGCGTGTTTCTGACCGGAGGCCGCCATGATAATTACGTCACTCGACGTAACGTAAGCAAAAACTTTTAATAAAATTACGCTACGAAATAAAGTTAACTTTTTAAATTATTATTTCTATCGTTGCCTTTATAATTATTATAAAATTTAAAATGATTGAAAGCAATTAGTTTTTTTAATAGAAACATTAAAAGTCGTCACTATAAATTTGAAATAAATGTAAACGTGTTTCGTATTCATTTATGCAAAATAATTTATAAATTATACCGAAAAGCGAAATTGTAATGTCATGATTTTTCTTTCGTGAATATATTTACGGTTTAAGAGAATTAAAGCGCACAGATTACAATTTAATCTTTGGTATTTCATTATATTTTACATATTTTATGTAATGGGATCAAAGAAAACGAATCGTTCGAGTCGCGCGCTAATTGCCGCTTGTTTAGCACACTTAGGTTCAGGAGTTGTTCAATCCGTCACCTCTTTCCTATTGTTTAAGTTTAATGGCATTCTGATTATAGCCGGATGGGATGCTGTGTCTGCCGTTGGGGTGAGTAGAAATTTAAAAAAAAACAAAATTTCCATTTTCCTAAAAGATATTTCTGTAATTTTCCAATTAATTCGTATTCTTAATTACGAAATATGTAAATTAGTAAACATTCTCATGATTTAGGGCTTTTTATAACTTTTTTTTACGCGTTTAATGTGAAATTTCCTCTCAGAACTTCACATTCGGAGGGGTTCTTTTCATAAAACGGAAGCAAGCACGCCAGGAAACGAACTCGGAAGAAACAAAAGAAACTCCTGGGAATCCCGAAGTAAGTCTTTCTCCTCCTCTTCCCTTTTTTTCCTTCCTCTCAATTATCTTCCATAATAAACTTCCTCTAGAGTTTATCTAAAAATTTCCTCATTTTCGAGTTGAATAAACTAATATATAAAATACATTCAATTTTGTAACGTTTCGCGATTACGAAACACTAAGATAAAATGTGTAACGATAACTTAAAACGAATTTCCCAATTTTGTAATAACCACATCGGTGACTCGTCGATAATTACTTTCTCGAAACACAAAATTACAAATTGATGAACTAATCTAGTGTTTAGAAATGTCTACTTAAATATGTTTTAATAAATAAAAAAATTCTATCGAAGATTTATCTGTTCTTAAAGATAGTTCAAAATGTCTTTTTATAATTAGGGAAACTCCAAGAAAATTTTGCTGGGTTCTTGCGTATTAAACATATTATCACTGATCTTGCTGTCCTTTTTTGATGGAGTTACTTGGGATTTTAGGATTTCAAAAGAGAAGTCTTCTACGGCAGCTTCGACGAGACAACCGGAAAAAATTACTTCATACGGTATAAATTTATTAATATTTCTTCCAAATATGTGATTTTTTTACTTTAATTTTATAAATTTTTCAGCTTACGTCGCTTCTTTGATCATACCGGCGATATTGATATTAATATGTCTTCTTACAATCTGTCTTTTCAAGTTATATTCCAACAAAAACAATTCTATGGCAGAAATTTCTGTAAGTGTGAACTCGTACATTACGTCGATTAATTCAAAACTTATTCGGCAATTCCATTGTTTCGTACGAAGTACATTAGCCTAATAAAATTCGATTTAATGTGGTTTTAAGATGGAAGAGCTAAGTTCGGTTACCATCAGACCCGAATGCTCCTCGGGAAGAGAGAAGAGAACGCCTTTTGTGGTGGTGACCCCTTTCGTACGTGCCGAGCAAAAACCTAATCGCGGTATTTGGCAATATACCAGAAACTCCAGCCATCCGGAATTAACTATAATCCCCGAAAATAAACAAGAAATTGAATCTCCGATTAACAGGTTAGATAAAATTTAAAATGCCTGGCGTACATATTAATAGATGCTTTAAATATTCATGGTATCGTTAACAGGGAGACTTCAAAATATGTTCGAGAAGTTTTTCATTGTCCGCAGATGCACGATAAGGATTCGCTCATTAATTTAAGTCCTTTGGAGTTAATGGCTCGACACCAGAGAATGCGAGACACGTTAAGGTGAAGACATTAACGATTTATGAGTTTATAATGGATTTATATTTTTAAAAATATTAAATTTATTCTCTGTAGGAAATAGAAAAACATTGTAGAAGAAATCTCGGCTAGAAATTTTTGGGTGTGTTTATATCGAAGATTAGTTTAAATAACAACTTTGCAGTGTGTAATTAATACTTGTTGACGAGACAAATTAATATTTAAAAAAAATGGAGAGAGGATGTCCCGAGGAGGAAGCGCTGTTTTGTTTCTAGCTGGGTTTAACGATGACGTGGCGACATTAACTGGTTTTTCGTTTCAACATCGGCGCCTCTGCTATATAACAGCGCGATTCTAAGCTTTGGTAGAGACGGTCAGGTAAGGATAATTTACAATTACATAATCATTAATTCCTGTATGTATTACTAGAGGGCGGTGGCGCGATTCTCGAGTCCTACTTTTTAGTCGGTTACTTATCCACTTCTAGTGATTCTAAAGTTAACATTTCTAAGGACAGAATGTCGGAAAACAACGCGAAAGGACTTACAGTTCCACGAGAGGAAGCGGAGAACTCATTTCGAGTGGCACCTTCCAGACGTGATAGGATCCTGATTTCTAAGGAGAGTAGCAAAGAAAAGGAAAAGCTTCAGGAAAAGAAATCCTCGGGAAACCAAGTACTCGAAACTATTAAAAATATTTAAATCTGTACATTCAACTTCATTTGTAGGCCTACTCGTAAAACAATAATAAATTGTTTTGGGTTTGTGTGATTGTAAGACGATGGCTTAAATCTACGATTCGGTCGGTAATTTGAAAAGGAAAAGTGTTGGTAGTTAAAACAGTATTTGGTCGAGCACTTCGGTGATGCGGAGTTCCTCTGTTTAAAGTAATTTCGAGCCTGCGGGCTTCTTTCCCCTGTGAATATAATTCCATGTGTGTTAGTGGGACAGCGATGTTTCTGCTTGGTTGCTTGATTCTATCGGCGCTTCCAAATTTTCCCACAGATCACTTTTCCATACTCCAATGATATCGAAATTTTCCTATAATTTCACAAAATAGCCATCATTTTTTATCGCCCGGGATTTAATGATCGGCATACAATAATTTCTTTCTGTCTTTTTAATTTTAATACAGTGTGCGAGATCGATTATTTGACAATTTCCGCGCTAGATGGCAGCATTTACCGAAGCTGGGACACGAGGTCTATTTTCCCACAGTAGCTGTTTCGACGAAATTTTCTCACAATCATCCTGGTCTAGGTCAGATAAATGGATGTAATAAGGTTATAGGGAGACTCCTATGTTAAACTATTCGTCGAGCGGACTACGCTTCGTGATTTCTTTTTAAAACTAGCTCTCGCATCACTGCCATTTTTAAATTAATACAAGAATTTAACACTGGAATGTCTCTTTTATAAGAATCTATTGAAGGTTTCTCTATGGGATGATAAAAAAACTAGGCCACAATAGAGACAACCCTCGGGAATTTTCAACAGAACGAGTTTTTTTATTTTTTTTAAGAACCTCTCAATCCCGGAACTCGTCTGGTAGACTGTTCTCTCGTCAATAATCCTGTCGTCATCCCCTTCGCGCCAATAGGGTTTACTGCTGGTTCTCTCTCCCAACAGCGTGACTACAAATTTAAAATTACATACGAATGGCTCCTGAGATACAATAAAAATTTTCGTACCTTACACCGAAGTAGATAATCGCACTAGGACTCGTCCTTTCGGTGTTCCCCCCTCAAACAGGCTTTAAAAATTAAATAAACACACTATTTCTGTACATAATATTTATTACATTTAAACGTATCACATTCATCCAAAAAAAAATCGTGAGATATTCAATGCTAGCTAATAAGTTACACAAATTCTGTGCGTACAAAAAATAATAAAAAAAATGTAGTAGACGATGTTAAGTCGGGTTGCTGTACAGTCACACACAATCGAGATTGACAAAATTAATACTGCTGTTTTGGGACATGGCACTGACAAGGAATAATTTAGAATATCGTACCTACTTCGTGTTAACTAGAATCCTTTGCAGATTCCTATCTCTCTGTGTTAGAAATGAGAAAAAGAGCTATGTCCTGATGTCCACCGTAAGCGGCGATATGCAAAGCACTCCATCCATCTCGGTTAGCCAGTCTGACATCCGCTCCAAATTTCACTAACAGTTTCACCAATTCTAGATTACCATCCAAGCAGCTGTGATGTAACGGCGTTTGACCTTCGTGGTCGTACGAATTCACATTAAAACCTTTTTTAGTCTGCAGTATCCTTTGTAATTCACTGGTGTCCCCTTGTCTCAGGGCCTTCTGAAATACATCGTGGTACGAGTTGTTTTCCACCTCGGCCGTACTCATTTCCAAGTCCTTAGGTTTTTAAACAGAATGCACTCGCCACCAAACTCGTAACTAACATGTGAATAACAATCCGCTGGGTTTTGTAGCTGGATTGCTACCACGTCATCTATGTCGGACTGGAATAGGAAGATTGGACCAATAGGAGAGCGCGTCGCTGGAATTCCATCGAAGCACCTCCTACAGGAAAGATGACAATGTACCGAGGTAGTGTTTAGAATTCGTGGGAAAAAAATACTGCTAGCTATCTTGTGGCTTTGTATTCCCTCCACTTGTTCCCACGTTTGGACTGTAAACAGAAATCTATCGTTTGCCACGTATAAGTTTGTTTGCTGCCATTATTGTCGCCCCACGTGAGAAAATATAGGCGTATTTTTTCCTCTTTTATTTATTTATTTTTATTTTTTTAATCGTTCGCCCACACTAAACGCCCGTCGTATCCGCCATACCTAAGCCACATTTTAGTAATATATAGAGTTTTCGGCACCTGCTAATTTAGAAACACAATACAGGATCACATACCATCACGGACGCTTCTGAAAATGATGGGTCGAGCAGGTGCTTTGTTTCGTGGCAAAGAACCTCCCCGGGCTATATACCTAACACAAGTTTTATAACATTAGACCCTAGTAGATTGACACAAGTCTGTAATTAGGACTAGACTACGGTCGATGGAGAATCTTATAAAAATTCCAACTGCGAATAATTTAGCTAAATTATTAAACCGTCTCACCTCGAACTTCTGGTAAATGGGTATCAAAGAGGAGCCGTCTTACGATATACAAGGTTGTTTTTCCCCCCTTCTCTCTCGTGCCTTGAGGTAAGACAGGGTCAATAATTCTTAACAATTGGCCGGCCGCAAAACAATCGTAACTACGCCCGCAGTTCTAAAATAAGGAGAAAATGTAACATCTGCTCTCGATTTGTGAAAGTACGTCGGACGATCCCCCCGTTAAAATCCCCCTTTTTTAAATTATTAGATATGTGAAAATTGTTTTAAAACTTAATAGCGCGTTTATTTCTCTGGAAAAAAATCGAATAGTTTCGAATTACAAGAAAATAAAAAAAGAAAATGGCGGCGTTAGTAAGACGTCGCCGCGTTCGTAGCCCGCTAGCTACTGTTCTGCCAATCATAGATGAAAATCATGTAGTCACGAGATTCATGTAGTCACGTGAAATGTCTAATGATACGTTTTAACTGACATTTTTTATTGTTTATTATTACGGATTTTTCGTCTTCTAACAGAGTTTTAAATGCATTTTTTTTTTAATTTTGTTTTTTCCAATTTTTTCCCGAAATTTTTTCGAATTGTCTGAGAAACGTTTGGGTATCGAGGTTCTCATGCGACTTGCCAATATTCGTTAGATGTCGAGATAGTAGCGGATTGGTCACGTGAAGGGGTGGCCGTGACACGTGACTAACACGCGCTAGTCTATGAGAATAACCGTTGGAACACTCTGAGAACGTTCTCTTTCTCACCAGGAAATTTCGTCTGGGATATTTAAACCGAAATGTAGAAAAAAACGGAGAATAAAAATCTCCCGAGTGTTACGTAAGCTGCTCATTCCGTAGTAGATTTTTCCATTAATAAGGTCACTAACGACGTCACTTTCATTCACACGATGAGGGAAACGGAGATAGTGTTTCTAGATGAACCCGCGCGCTTCGATATAATAACTTATATTAATTTACCCGGCGATAAATATAGCCCGGAAAATTTATAAATAAAATGAAAGCTACACTCGTCTAGTCTTTATTACGGTTATTTATATATTTTTAGAGCATAAAATACTCTCTCTACGTGTGGTGAAGATCGATATCTTCGGACGCGCGCCTACGAAAAACGGATAACTGCCACGCCTAATCTTTTGATATTTCAATCATAAATGCCAAGAAAAAATATTGTTTATAGACTCGGGTTTAAAATAATATATCGTCGACGGTATACAAATTCTATTTTAATTCTCGGACCCCGTGTTTTGATACCGTTTCTTAGCCATAAAAATAGAAATACGAGAAAAATATAGATGTTAATTCGTAGTTTTTTAATAGTTAAATCAATTAAAATGATTTTTTATGTAAATAAAGTCAATGCCAACGAATGCGATGGAGAAAGCATTGAGCCGATTTTTTAAAATCGCATCTAAATAAATGTAAAATTTTACTCCTTAATCCTTCGAAATTTAGTTCATACGAGAATTTATTTTTGTAATCTTCTCAATTTTTATCAAGAAAAATGGTTAAGAAAGAAAATAAAATACAAAGGAGAAAAACCAGGACAGACGAATATTAAATCGACTATATACACTAAACTAGGAGGAAAAAAATGTAAAAGAGGATTAGAAGAGGAAACTAAAAGAAAAGTGACGGAAAGGATTATTTTTCTGATATAAATGACCGGGAAAAAGCTGTGAAGAAACCAATTATTACGATTACATCTATCGTAAAAATAATGGTCATTTTTTAAACATAAAACAAAGCGCTATAAAATCAAAAACTGCCGCAAGAACCCACCAGATGATGTAAATAATTCGCATACATTAAGAAAATTTAAGAGAGTAACTCGAAGTACTGTATACAATATTTCGGAGCTTTTTAAAATAGTTTTAAATATTAATTTCTACTATAAGTCTAAACGAAAGCGGATACAAATTCTCAAAGATTTTTTCTTCTACGCGGTCGAGTAAATTAAAAATCTACGTGAGGACGTATGGAAATAAAGATTTTTCCCATCCGAAAGAGGCAAAATCATAGGTTGCTTCCATCTGACAAAAGAAGTAAAGAAATAAAATATAGATCTATAGAAAAGGGCATTAAACTAACCTTGACTACATAAAAATTGGTTACGGAGCAGTAGCCTCGAAGACTTACAAGCTCTGATCGAGTTTAAGATGGCTTTATATAAACTTGCACAATTTTTTCCATTAGCCAACCTTACATGGAAGAAGTTGTTGTATATGTAATTTGAATCTGGTCTACGAGTCCAACTAAGGATTAAGTATCCCTGGGAAATCCAACCGACCGCTTTTTTTTCCTCTCCGTCTACTTAACCTTAATCATTCGATAAAATTCGGATCTGATTAATGATGTGGAGGAGCCACGAAACTTTAGTTACAAAGGATTTCTTTATACCTTTTTTTAGGGTAGCTTTGAGGAAAATTTTAGTCAAAAAAGGTCACAGCTTCGGTACTATAATTCTTATCGAGGCCTCTCTATGGCTACCATGGCTGATAGGAAGTAAAGGAATGCGCCATTTTATGATTAATAAATACAAAATAGGAATTTAATGATTTAAAATTAATTTAAAACATTAAATAAAATCAACTCGATCTAAATCGTTAAACTTAAATATTTTATTAATTACCGCTTCGGCCATCGACCACGCTTCTTATTAAAGTATGAACACGAGTCGAATTACCGAGACAATTGTAGAAATTATAAAGTGTTTTTAGAAATGAAATAATGCATTTTCTAAGTGGATATTTTCGCATTCCACACACCTTAACTTAATCAGTGAGCTGCACTTGGCTGCCAAGAATATTTGGTTTATCTCTACAGTATTTGGTTTAACTTATCTAAGCTTCTTGAACACGTCTCAACTCGGTAAATGCCAAATTTCGCGATAAATAAGGTGATAATTCGGCATTAGCGAAGGAAGGCAAAATCAATATTTAAAAATCCTGGGAAGAATTGAAATTGTTTTCCCGAGAGGAAAGTAAAAGCTAATCCCATCAAAGATTAAATAATAGCCTAAATACGTAAATCCTGTGTTGAATGACCTCCTTACATATCTCCGCTCTTAATGATGCTCTACTACTATAATTTCGCTTTGTAGTAAATGTTGCGAGAAATTATAGTGGAAAAAATAAAATAAAAATGCTTCGTGCATCTTCACTAATAAACAATTTCCAGTCACAAACCGTAATAACCTCTTTGATCAACAGATTATGATGTAACAACCAAATTTACATACGTGGGAAAATAAGGTAACGGCATTCCTCGGCGGCCATCTTGTTAAGAAAATATTACAAATAACGTAATTTGATAACTTAATTCTTAACTGGAATTAAGAAATGCCCGCTTCTCAAGGTTCTCAATTGTGTAAATAATGGAAACGTTGATTTTCAAGTGTCGTTAGCGAGTAGCAATCATGCAAAGACCTTGAAGCCAACCACTCTAATGTAGGACACCCCGCTTGTTAGCCCAGGAATTTGTTCGCTTTTAACGTATTACACATTTCTACTTTAAATTTGGGTGTAATTTTATTATCTCGACAACCACTTTTTATAATTATTCCCCATTCGTAATAATTCCCCTAAAACAAATCATCTGGGCAGGTTTTTATATTTTTATTCGCAGCCGAATAATAAAATATTTTGACCTAGTTATTTATGACGTTTTTAATACGTAATAAACTAAGCCGGTGAAAGAAAAATTTACGGGAGAAACGTCCCGAGTTATTTACGTAATTTGTAGGTCTAAGACCCGCCACTTCGGAGAAGGTCAAAGAATGGGAATCTCGACAAGCGGAAGTAGGTCTCGGAAAGGTCGGAGGTGAAGCGAACGGGGTCAAAACGATAAAGAATCTCCGAACCCGGACACACTACCTTCACGACCGTCACGAAAGTTAGCAACGTGACCGGTGCTACTGCGTGACGGAAGGATAGCGATAAAAAAGTTGATCCTCCCCGCGTGTATGGCAGAAATCGACTTTCCCACGGATACCGAAAGAAAAAGCGAATTCCTTTTTTATCAACCTCGATAAAGCGCCAGCGACTTGGCACAAATCGTCCGTGTACGAGTCGATTTGCCCATTTTTCGTTAAAGTAATTGCCAGCTACGTAAAGGTTACGTCATTTAAAACCATTTAAGCTAAACCATTCGGAATTTTACTCTTATGGGAAAAGCGCCTGTAAACAGATTTATAATGCTGGAAACCCGAAACATAATAAAGGTTAAAATCGGAAAAAACATCCCCAGATTCCATTGTCCACATCTTCCTAAACGGACTTCCTCTCGAAGAGGAAACTGAATCAATACAGGATGACGTGTTTGTGCATTTGTAGGTTTGTAGCCGGATAAGCGGAAACAAGTCTTCTTGCTGTCATCTCCTGGGTGTGACTATTGAGGAGAG